ATACAAATTTAACGATCGATAATGACAGATACTAGTAAATTAAAAATATCATGGTGGGACTGTGTCATAAATATATATAGTAAAGTTTCTAAAATACAGAACTACTGAGAAAATATGAGCAATTGTTCATTTAAATTATGTAGAACTGATGTGATATGTGAGAGCAGCACTAATAACCGGTCTAAAAACTTGATTGTCCACTCTCTACTGTGGCATCAATGGTAGATAATGTAGTTTAATGGAATTATGGGTTCAAAATAATCAAAATTGTAATAGTTAAGGTTTAAAGGAGAGAGAGGAGACGCACCGAGATAAAATAAATATAAAAAAAAAGAAGGATTTTATTAGTGTTTCTTATTAGAAATAAAGTGTAATAGAGTCGTGATTTTATTTTTAAGGTGTTTCGCCCCTTTTGTACTAAAGAACAAGTGTCATTTTCAAATTGGTTTATAGTAGAAATGGGAGGAAGCAAAATTTAGATAAAAGAAAAAAAAAACAAAAAACCAAAAAAAAAAGGAAAAACAAAAAATTTTCCTACACGAAACCCTAACTACTACAAATATAATGCAGAATTAATGAGGAAATAGGAAGGAATGTTTTAGGTTCGACCAAGGGCGGAGTCACATATAGAATTGCCCCATCTGAATTTTTTTTTAATAGTTATTACCACTTAAAAATTTATGTTTTTTCTAAAGAAAAATAGATTTTGCCTTACTTATAACAATATTAACGGATAAGTGTATTGAATTTGTGAAATTAAAAATCTTGTTCCATCACTTTTTCGAGGACTAGCTCTGCCCCTGGGTTCGACTTTTTGAAGTAGAAGTTTTAATTAATTTAGCCAAGTGTTCATTTAAATTATAATATAGGACTGATTTGTATATGTGAGAGCCCTACTAACAACTAATCTAAATAAATCTAAAAGTTCACTCTCTTCTCCCTCAAAGCCAACTCCAAAAGAATAATTCTTCTCGCATCTTTTTATCAAAAGTTGGATTATTTCACAAAATTAGTTTTGGGTTTTAGTTTTTCAGTAGATTATTTAGAGGGTATGATTTTTTTTTTTCCGCAAAGTTCATTCAGTAGGAATAACAAAAGAAAATTTGTCTTACAAGAAATGCTGACTCCTACGGGTGTTTCTTCGGGGGTTTTGAATGGAAATATCAGGTGCAATGTCTATCCTACAAATGTCCTTTCCTTCTCCAAAAGGTTCTTTTTGGGATGAAATTTTTAAATATGATGCTCCTTTGATCCCCAAAATAAAAATATATTTGTTAAACTAAAAGTATACGATCATTCACTAAAAGTAAGCAAACTAAATTCAATGGGTTTAACCAAAAAAAAAAAAAAAAACTTTAACATTGTTTTCTTTTCCGTAGAATGAAAACCAGCAAAATGTAAGTTAAACAAATATTATTATTATTACTTTAATATATTAAGTACCTAATATTTGAACTAATCCGAATTCAAGCTGTGCAGTGGGGACAAACATAGTCGTCACTCCGTCGATGGGTGAAGGCGCATATACACTGTTTCCGACATCAAGCATTCAATTGGATAATGCGTCATATCACCAACACTCTTGTAGGGGATATATATATATATATAGACTATGGAGGCTCAGAAGTTTCTCTTTAAAATGAATTACAATTTAAAGATGAATTATATGCTGGATCATGACCTCAGAAAAATCCAACAACTCTTATTAGAAAATTGGGAGGTCCGTATTTTGCATACTCCTAAAGTTAAAAATAAATGCGCTAATTACTTAGCAAAAGAGGCGCTTAATCTAGTTAGGAGTGTATATTTTTTTATGTAACCCGTCATGTATCTCTCTACTTGTGAAGAATGAATCTGTAAGAACTTGAGATACGCACTAAGAGATATAACTTAGTTTACTTTTCGTTAATCGAAAAAAAAATGAATTACAATTTTCGTTTTGAAAAAAATCATGTTTATTGCAATGAAAATAACTTGATAAAAAGAACTTTATTTCAAGATAGAAAAAGTGAAAACTACGAAACGAAGGAAGCTAATTACCTGGTGTGCTTGACTGAGTATGATGCACACAAACACTACCTGTAAGGCGAAAGCTATATGTCGGAAATACAAATTGTATGATGAAAAAATAAGAACAAATGATTACAAGTTTACAACATTGGATTTACGTAAACTAATGAAGACTAAAGGCTAAAGCAAGCGATCTGACTACAGTAATGTAAATTGTCCTCATTTCATTTATCTGCTTCTTTTTGTTCCACCCAAAAAAAAAAATATCAATTTGTTTTGCAAGTATTAAATAATATCGAATTCCCAGATTTTGATAATACATAGTTTATGTTTAAAATATACTTCCTCTGTTCTAAAACTATTGTACAGTTTGAATTTTTTTTAATACAAATTGAACTAAAAGTGAATATTTAAACTGGCCGAATAATTATTTTGGGACGAAAGAAGTAAGTGATTTAACAAAATAATTTGTTAATATTCTCGACGCCCTAGCAAATATGTGTAAGAAACTACAGTTGAGAAAAATGTACACCCAATGTTATATATTCGACCTTACCTTAATGAAAAATGCGTAAGGAATGAGGTTATGAGATTTTATGGTGTACTCTGAATTGAGGGAAAAGAAAATAAACAGGATCATCATTAATTTTCTTCATATTCAAAGATTCGATACAAATTGTTCTTGACATCTTCCCTTTTGTGTATCAGAGATAAATATGAGGATTTGAGCGAAGTTGTGTGTTTATTGATGAATTACAATCCAGTATTTATACAAAAGAGTTATGTTCCTACCAAATCTATAGCATTAACTTATAGAAAAGATCAAATTAATTAATATAATCTAATCAAATCCCTACAATTACTCTAACACAGTATTTGATTCTACATTTTCCTCTGCCCACGGATAAGGCTCAGTACAATGAAATCAGCATATATCAGAAACAACATAATTCCGATTTGATGATCATTACCCAGAAGAATTGTACTACTTTATGTTCCAAACTTTCTCTCAAATATATGAAACTTGGTTACCATTATCTGATATTTCACGTAATGTATCTGACATCAATTCCCCTGTTCCTGGTTCTGTTTGTTCATTTTTCCATGTTTTGGATCGACGAATTGATCCTACTATGGGATGATTTCAGGTTTGGATTTGTTGCTGTACTTCCCATTCTGTCCTTATGATTTTCCTAGGTAAAGTTAATTATATGTCCAAACCTAGGAGAGTTTACTTAGTAGATTTTGCATGTTACAAGCCTGGACCTCAACTAATGTGCTCCAAACAACTTGACAGATCCGGGTTCGGGGAGAAAATATACGCAGCCGAATCGTAATTTCGTAAACCCGAAAATCCCCCTTCCTTGGCTGATGCAAGAAAGGAAGCTGATATAGTTTATCAAAGTGATAAGGGAAATCCCCCTTCCTTGGCTTTATATATAGAGTAAAATGTCCAAATGTTTCTTTACATTTGGGCTTACTTGAATTTACGTCCCTAACATTAAAATTTCAATATCGTAGTCCCAAACATTCTGTTTTCAAACTTTTTTTTTGTTCCATTTTACTGTTTCGACCACTTTTCCATCCAGCTCGACATTGTTTGGCAACACTTCTACCAGTTCATTGTGGTATGAATTGGCTTATGTTGAGACTAAGGGGAGAATTCAAAACGGGGATCGTTCTTTGCATATTGCTTTTGGTTCAGGATTCAAATGCAATAATGCCCATTGATGCCTAAGATATCAATTCATCCATCTAAAGAGAACAATCATCGGAATGGTGAAATTGATGAATCCCTATTCAGGTGCCTCCAATAATGCCCATTGATGCCTAAGATGCAGTAATATCTATTTTTTTGTGCGGTCTATAAAGTGGTTATGGTTTATAAATGGCATCAAAACGTTGGTGTAACAGAGTTATACAAGATTAGTTATCATGAAAAAAGCTTAGGTTGTATAGTACTCTTTCTTTCTCAACAAAAATAATCCATTAATTTATTCTGCGGTTATAAATCAACAAAATGGACAATCTTCTATGATAGAAAGAGCATTTACGCTTGTGCTACGCGTTTGTTAAACTTGACGTAACTTTTTTCCTAGAAAAAAATAGTACTCCCTCCCTCAAAAAAATACTTCCTTCATTCCAAAATAAGTGTCGTTGTAGCAAAATGGAGAAATTTCAAAATAAGTATCGTTTTCAGATTCAAACGCATTTTTGGTGAAAAATTTCCAAACATACCCTCAAAAGAAATAATATTATTGGCGAACATTATTTTAATAAGGTTGGTTAAGGATATTCTAATAATTTAGCTACCATATTTAAGTGTTTCTTAAACTGTGTGCAAATTTTAGAATGATACTTATTTTGGAATGGAGGGAGTAGCATGTAATATAATGAAATAAATGCGTAACTTGCTAATTTTTGTTTTTTACTAAGATTACAATTCTCATATACTTTGTTAAAGAAAATTGTCAACCCATGTGTGAATTGACGATCTAATCGGGGTCATCAACTATTTAATCCGGCCGCACGTAACTGTGAAACACGAATTGTAACATGCTCAAAATTTTGAAGGTGAAGTATTCCTTGGGAGCTTCGATTATTTATAATCTGTTTGATTCAATATTCTTAAGAGAATGGAAGTATTTTTTTGAATAACTTATATACTCTTTCTATTTCAAAAATGATTGTCCAATATTTTACTTTTAGTATAATTTGAAGTAAAAATAAAAATCAAAATTGGACAATAATTTTGGGACGGAGGAAGTATTTGACATTGTTCGATAATTACTAGGAAGAATTGGGATTATAATTATAGATTAACCAATTGAACACTAATTATAGATATGTACTGCGGTCATTTATAGAGATTGAAGCGAATGTATATATAGTCGTCGAGTTAGGTGCTGAAAATAGGATTGAAATGCGTATAATGCAAGAATCTGAGAATCCGAATAAATGCAAAATAGACAAAGTAAGATAACTAACACTTAGCTAGAACCTAAACAACCCAACGGGGTGATATTCTCCTCATAATACAAAGCTACAACAGGCTCAGTTAAGTTGAGCAAGCATTCTTGTGCAATGGATGATGAAGGACAGTCCGCTATGAAACGCTTCTTGAGCTCCCTACTGGTTCGCTCATATACATAAAACGGCATCGGAAACTTCCAATTGCTAGGATAACTTTTCAGGAAAATCACGTCTCCATTGGGGAGTGTAGTGACAGCTTTTCCTTCCGGTACCCTGATATTGTGCTCTGTCCAGGAGCTGAGATTATGAATGTCCTCGAAGAAATTAGTTGCCCGTTTATATGAACGAAGCTCGTTATCTATCCAAGGCCCCATAGGATGATCACCCTCGTGGTTGTTGTAGAACACATTGGAACACCTTTCTACGGCGGGTTTTGGTCCAAACAACCACCTAAATGTTCCTATCATCCGGGGTTTAGTGATGAATTTAAAATTCTCTTGAACAAGGTCAAAACAGATAAATTGGGATACTCCAATGGACCGGGAAAAGTTACTGTCCCAATAGAGTCCTCCATTCCCACAATAAGCACTGCTGCTTAACTCCCAAGGCGCAGGATCAATACTACGCCAGGACGAATCAACACCTATGGTTAAAATCTCGCAGTTCAATATATGCTTATGTCTGGGACGTGGACAATCGCCCCGACCTCCATTGAGGGTGCATGTCTTGAGTACCTTGTACACTCTGTTAAAGGGATCATAACCAAGATGGTAGTCGCAAATATCGAGATCGCAATTCGAGACGGGAAGATACATCGTTTCCCTGGTGGCAATGTTGTAGATACACGAGTTTTTGCCATGATAGAAGCATACAAGGCCGTTTACAGGAGCTTTGGATTTCATGGGCTGGCCTAGGTTTAGGGTGTGAAACTCCGAGATGTGGCTTGAGACTCCAACATCCTCATTATTATGATGACCTTCGGGTGATAAATTCATGTAAAAGAAATCATGATTCTGATATATGTCATGATGTGAACGAGTGACAAGAAGACCTTTGAAACCGCCGCCATATGATGAGATGAACAACGGATCTCGAGTTATGGATAACCAAAGTTTGCACACACACTTACACCTAAGCAAGGTTTTGACGGGAATCAATTTTAGAATTTCCCAAATTAAATCTACGGGGAGTGTCCATGATTCATCAACCCTACTAGATTTCGATTTCCACATCTGGTACCGATAGAAAAAGAATACTTGTGAACTTTTGAAGAATAATTTTAAATCTCTGGATTCAACGTTGCTAGTTACCCTACGGAATAATAATGACTTCTATCTATTGATACGTTTTTATAGGGAAAAAAGAGGGGGGTGGTATCCTGCTTGTTATAAGATTCATAATTGGAATAGGATTGTCAATATTTTTTTTGTATTCTAAGTTCATTATTTATTATTATATTATTAAAATATTAGAATCATGGTCCGGTTTAGGTACGTTGCTGGTGTAAAAAATATTGCATGTGTGATATCAGCGCAGCGTAAAACAGAGATTACCGGACTTTTTCCATCCAACTCCCAATTTTCCTCTTCCCAACCTTAAGCAAGCTTCTTCCGGTACAATTCCGGCAACAACATCTGAAAAGTTGTTGGGATTCTGCAGGCAGATCCTACAACCTTTTGTGCTCTTCCAAAATATGGAACTGTATCCAAATTGCTTTGATTTAGTGTACGCTAATAATTGGTTTGGACACCGGGACTATACAAATAGCGTGAGGCTTTGGATTTTACTTCAACTCGATTAATGGATCTTCGACTTGCTACTTTACTTTCTGTTTGTGTTTTCCATAATAAGTACATACAAATTTATCAGTCTTGCAAAATTTGGTGACAACTTCTCTATGTGATTGCATACTATCTGTTTGATTATTGCATACGTAGTAACTACTAAGCGTGAAATTCCTCTTTAAATTGCACAATGAACTATTTCTGCTAATGAGAAGCAACACTAACAAGGCCTTTTGAATATGTCTAACATACTTTCTGTTTTGGTCAAGATTGCACAATGCCAGCCCTCATAGCAGGATTCTTGTTCTTTTGGATCTTACAATTCACTTTTGGACAGCTTTCTTCTTGTTCTTTGTTGTCCATCCTGTTGCCTCTCTGCCATTGCTTCTTTATGATCTGGTACACTTTTTAATGAAAATTGTTATACTCTCCATTTGTAATGCCACTTAAACCTCTATTTTCCTGGTTACATTTATCTTTCTTTTCTTCTGGAGTTTGTATTTTCTGTTTTATGTTTTCCATTTTGCAAATTATAATTTTTTTTCCCCTTTAATTTTGGTTGGTTTGTTCAATAGGCACAAACAGATTTCTAGAGATTGAGCCTCTACAATCTCAAGCCATTTTTTTTTTAATTTTTTTTTCCTTTTGTCAAGGTTCCCATTAAGCATCCAACCTTTGTTTTGAAAGGTTCAATTGCCCAACCTTTTTTTATCTGTAGTATGGTTTTGATAGCTTTGCTGGTTGGTTAGACTTCACCTACCTGTATTGATTACTGTGTTTAAAAATAATATTTAACCCAACCATTGTTTTATGATTGATTTCCTTCAAAGCTATATCAATCTAATTTTTTGCTACCTGATTATGGACTTTCTTAGCAGATCGTGAAAATGAGAAAATCTTTGACCATGGTTCATTTGCAAGACTGAGCACTCCTCGATGGGTCTTAATGCTGCATGGAAAGCCTTGGATTTGCAACCAATGGAGCTGACATTAAAAATGCATGAAGATTTGTTCTTCAAAACTTGCACGGATTAAGTTGATTTGACCTGTATGTTTGATGTTCCTGAGACTTTGCAATTGTGATAATGGTTCATTACATTAATACTTTACAAAGACGATAATGCTCTGGGGAACGCACCAATCAGGCAGTCATCCTTACTGGTATGGTTCATTAATATTTTCTGTCTTTGCAAGCACACACATTAATATCCTGGTTTCTTTTCTTTCCATGGTGATGTGAATAGTTTACCCTACAATTTAATTGAATGGATGAGGTGATAAAGTCTGCAAGCACAAACGTAATCCATAGTTTGTGATTTTTAACTGATTTCTGATGCTTTAGCTTTCCTCCCCACTCCTTCATCTTTCTCTGTTTTCTTGCCTGCTAACTGAATGAGGAGGCATTGCATAAGTCAATAATCCTTTGATTCTTTTTATGCTTTCAAAATTTATAGTAACAATTAATCATCCCTTTTTGCAAAGTTTCATTTTGTACATCCTATCACCAACATTAGTGTCAGAACTTGGAATCCAGAATGGTTGTCAACAGCATTTCTTTATGCAAGCTGTTGCCTACCACCATGGAGAACCTCTTGAAAGATAGCATCAGTGGTAAGGTGTAGCTGTTTGATGCTAATGCACACAAGATGAGGCTTTCATGGGTTCTGGGATCATCGTCATGTTTACCTAGCCAAATATTGGTTGTTATGGCCCAAAGATGAAGCAGCTATCAGCCTATCAGTTATGTTCTTTCTGCTTTGATTGCTTTGGATCTTCGCTCATAAATTCTTCAAGCTGAGGCAGGATAATTCACCTATAGAATATTGCAGAGAAGTTCTAATTAAATCCATGTTGGTAGAATTTCTGGGTCTATTTCAGACTTTAATTACTCTGGAAACCCCGAACTACTAACTGAGTACACTGAAAGCATCAATGGACTTCTTCATTCCGATATATGTAGAGTACTTTATTTGTTGAAGGCAATATGACATTCTACTAATTTTCTACTCAAAATAGCATCAATATCAAAAAGGGAAGAACTGATTCTGTCCTTCATCCCATATAACCCGCACTTTAAAGTTAGGCCTCCATCATATCACGGAAAAATACTATCTTTTTACGTTCCTTAGTTTAGGTTGATTTCTTCCCGAATTTATTCGGCTGTTGAAGCTGCGGTTCTTTCCTTTGTTTTACTCACGAAGCCTTGATGTTCTGGAGTAATGAAGAAACAATACACATGACATGACGAGCAGAATTGACTAAGAAAAACTTGAAAAGCACTCTACTTGGCATGAACCATGATCAGAAACCAGAACAGACAAGAAGGATGTCAAAGTTTCAAGTTCCAATTCTACTTGTCTTCTACTACTACTATTACTACTAATACTTACTACCCACAAGGATATGAAAGTTAGGTTCCAAATCTTAACAGCAGATTGTCTTCTACTAGTACTACCACCACTTCCGCAAACATGCCTTTGCAATGATCCCATAACCCCCAAAACAGGTAGGCACAAACACTCTGTTTAATCAAATCCAGTGTTGAGAGTGAACTGATGCCAAACTCTCAAGGTACAGAAGAGGATCTCTCCTCATTTCCATACATAATGGAATTTCTTTGCCACCACCAACAAACTTAGGCAGCAAACCAGAAGGCGGGCAATCAATTTCCATCATTACATCGGTTTCTAAGTCGTAAGTGTACAATTTTCCGAACTTCGAAGAGAAAACCAGCACCTTATCAGGGACACCAATGTTGAGAGGCATAATTAGCCCTCTAACAGAAAACAAAATACCCCAAGACTCTTGATTCCCATAATCTCTCATCATGAAAACATCACAATGATAATCATCCATCAAGTCCTCAACACCATTAACCACACAAAGACAATCGTGCAAAACGCAAAGTCCAAAGAAGTTACCAGGGACACCATCATCATCATCATCATCATCAGATTCTTCAAGCTGAGGCAGGGATAATTCACCAAAGCGGCTCACCTCGTGTTCAAAATAAACGATCAATCTGGATTGATCGCCCTTCCTCTCCACAATCCAGTGCAAATGACCATTCAGTAAAACCCCAATTGAAACGCCAGAACCACTGCCCTGGGGGAAGTCATAAGGAAAAGAGATGTCTGATGCTACCACTTCAGGCATCTCCCCTATTTGATGTTCTTTTTTCTTTAAACTCTCAACATAAACATATACTTCATCTTCTTCATCGGGAAATGCCACCACCACCAACAAGTAATCCTTGGATGGACTATCGAAGCACATTCCAGTTAGACTAAATCCATAGCGGGATGCAACCACCATTTGGTACAGATTATCCAAGGTTCTACAACAGCCCGTGGATGGGTTCCATAAAACCAGTTTTTCAACGCCAGATCCAAATTCAGCACAAAAACTAACCAGCCCATCACAAGACCCAAAACACAGCCCGTACCGATAGTCATCATCATCATCAATAATGAGATGAGGATCTGGGAGCTTCTCAATCTTGAGGTCTCCGTCGATTGAGTAGAAGTACTGCGATTTCACGCCAGGCGTTGAATCTGAGGAGCGAGGATAAATCAACAGAAGGCGTTGCCGTTTAGGAGCAGACAACAGGGTGAACTTAGAATCGGATATAATGTTTCTCCACATCTTGGAGACACACCGGAATCTCTTCAATGTTTTGACTGCTAGCCGTGGGAGTATCTCTCCTTCAATAATGTCATCCGAAAGCACCAACACCATGATTTCCGGCTATTTCTCTCTTTTCTTTTAGGGTCGAATCGAACTCAAATCAAACCAAACAGGGGGAACGAAAAAGGAAAACCAAAAAAGAGGAATCGGTGCCGGAATTGAAGATGGAAAACACCAGAAATTGGTGCCGCCGGGAAAAATGGTAAAAGGGGACTCTCGTACAGCAAGAAATACCAGTCAAGATAGACTTGCAATCCAGGTCCCGCTCAATCCTGTGGCTGTAATTACTTGTGTGTTTCTTTTGTCTCATGTAGATGACGAGTCCATGTCATCGATCCAAAGTGTAAATATTGGGTGTTTCTTTTGTGTCAATCCGGTTGTGTTTCTTTGTGTCTATTAGATGATGCAATTCATTTAATATGATCACTTGACTAATGAGGCCTAATGACCAAAAAAAATATATTCCCTCAAATTGAAGAAGAATAGGCCTAATGACCAAAAAAAAAAATATTCCCTTAAATTGAAGAAGAATATATCTTTCTTTTGGGTAATTAAAAATATCGCATATTTATTTGATTGTGAAACTTAATTCTCTATATGTGCGAATAAAATGATAATTTACTAGTTTTTACTAATAATACAAGTGGTTTTCGTACCAAAAAAAGCAATAATTAATACTCATGTTCAAGTCAAAAACAAATTAGGAAGCATAAAAAAGAGAACTTGCTTATTAGGAAGAGGTCAATAATCTATTTTTTACATTCTCAATAGGAAAAAAAAAATACCTAAAAACACATACTAAAAAAGAAAACAAACAGAGCCAAATAACAAAAGGAACCATCGGAAATTCATCCAATTTCACTGCGATTGCCCGGGCTGGTAATACTTCATCATGTATGGGAAATCATCAGGGCGAAACTAAACTCTCAACATACAACGTTGCCTGTCCAAAGTCACCGATTTGTGGATAGCCCCTGGATGTATTCGTCTTTTGATCGTAAAGAAACAATCTTCCATGACATACAAACAATATATCACAATTCCTCAATGAGCCAACTAATTTACAATACGTTTTGAGAATACAAAGACCATCTGGATAAGGAATAAAAGCGACTTTCGTCCATGAGCCCTTCATTACCCAAATATCTATCTTAATGTAATTAATGTTAAGTTTCCTAGGGTCTATATTTGTAAAGGTAAAATGCTTGTTTGGACGTTAATTTACATTTCATTTTGCCACTTAAAAGGAGAAAGTGTTTCAAATTGAAAACTAAATGGGAAATAAAAATGTCGTTTGGATGGTATTTTGAGCAAAAAGTTGTTTGCATGTTGGTTTTGAAAAAAAGTATTTTGAACTACATTTTGAAATATCAAGTACAAGTCATCACTAAACAATTAATTGTCAATTATAGACACTGCAAAAAAGAACGTTTTCAAAAACAATTACTTAACAACGGAATCCTACCAAATTTGTCACTGAATTATTTGTAGTTTTAAAATGGTGATTACACTAACAAAAAGTGTTTCAAGTTGGAATTTAAAATGTAAATCAGAAAATTATTTGGATAATATTTTTTTTCTATTGGATTTTATGTTTAAGAGGTAAAATGAGTGAAAATGTAAAATGAGATGACGTACAAACAAACCCAAAATCTCTAACCAAGCGAAACAAGGAAAGGCAGTCTCCCAAGGTTCCAAGTCTAAGGTCACGAGTCCCCACATTGTCATCTGTCCCAACATTTGGGGGTAATCCATTTCCACATATGTCTCATCCGCCAAATCAAAGCTAGCAATTTTATGTGTAACAACATTAAAACCATTACATTTACCATCCATCACGAACCAGTGAAACTTTCCACCTGCATATTGGAGAGGATATTTTGGCCACCTAATGATCCTACCCTCAATCTTACCCCCCTCAACCCAATGCCACAAATCATTCTTTAGGCTATGCACTTTGATGGTGATGTTGTTATCGATCTGGAACGCCCCAACTTCTTTATAATCGTCATTCAACTTGTCATAACCAAACCCGAAACTCGGAAAACCACCCGCGTCAGGCAATTGCTTAGCTTTCCTAGGATCAATGTAGGCCCTATCTATCTCAATGCAAACCAGCCCATTACAAGAACCAGTTATATAGTGATAAGACTTCACTTCCGAATCAACGTTGAATTCCTTAGGTGAGGAGGAGGCAGGGTAAAGCAGAGGATTTAGAGAGCATATCTGAAGCCATCGGCCTCGGTGACCAAAGGCGGTGAACATGAGACGATGGTGTTCATAATCATCCCTTCCAGATGCAACTGCGAGATGGGTTTTGATGAATTCGTGGCTTGAGATCAAAGAGAGCCATGTTTTCGAGACGCACTTGAATCTCCCCAAGGATTTGACGGGTAGTCTTGAAAGAATGTCAATGACGAGTTCGAAAGGCATATATATTGATCGGCTTTGTTTCGCTTCTGCCAGTTAGGATGAGGTTTCGATTGATGTGAGATAGTAGATTCCATGGCAATTCAAACACATAGCTGGGGTTTTAATTTTGCTTTGAAAATAAAAAATTAAACAGGACCCTCCACCGACTTGAAGAAATACGTCTCCAAATTGGAGAAGGAAGATTTCAGCCTCGTCTGCCCTTGTGAATTTTTTTTTTTCCGATAAAATAGACAAGGTTTTTTTTTTTTTTTTTCACCCCTTTTGACGTACTAATAATTCCTCAATGTTGCGAGGAAGAAGTATAATAATATAAGAATTTTCTTCCAAGGAAGTATTGTATTTTAAATATCTTTTTGTTTCCTAATCATTTTTGGGTACGGTAAACGGTAAAGAAGGAACTTGCCTTAAATACTAATAGATTATGGATCGTTGATATGAAACGACAACGGCTCAATTTTTGTTTTTGGTAATGCAGAACCCCACCAGAGATATTTCCCTAATTATTAATTGCCAACAAATATATTTATTTTTATTTTGTTAAATTCAGTTTGCTTTGTATTGCCATATTGAAAAAAAAAAAAAAACCTTGAATATTCTCGCATAGAATGTATGAGCAAGTGAAAAGCGGCAATTCTGAAGCGGTTGAGGAAGGGAAGACTTGATTGATAATGGCTTGTAATGAATGAATCCATGGTCTTTATTATGATGTTGCGAACAACTTTGATAGAGTTGGGCGCTAAGGTTAACGTTAACTAATCCTCATTATTCTTCAGGCCGCCGTCTTGTAACTCCTTTTAATTATACCACGCTAAGCAAATGCCCCATGATGAAAGATGTTTGTCAGACTCCAATTGAGGTTGCTAGAGAGCCAAAGAATGATTCAACCATGTTGTTCGTGCAATAGAGAGCCTGCATATCTGTTTGTTTTCTGGTTGAGAGCTTCATGGTGGGCGATTGGGTCGGCGGCGCTTCCTTCTAATTAACATGTAAGACCAGAAAGCCAACCGTGATGCCGAATAACACATATTGACGCCGGTTTAACATGTAAGAAAGACCAGAAAGCCATCTGGGATGCCAATAGCTGGCAATGAGATTTTATTATATGGGAGGGAATTTTTCCACCCATTTAAGAGTTGCGTAATGTGCATGTCGCAAATACAAATTGTATGGTTTTAAAAATACAACTGATTATATTCTTTATAACTCATAAGTTTTAACAATGTTGGATTTACGTAAAAAAATAATGAAGACTAAAAGCATACCATCTGATCACAATAATGTACGTTGATTAGTGTCTCATTTTATAAGCTTCGTTTAGCCGCCCCCCCCCCCAATCTTTGCAATTGTTACATAACATGCAGTATACTTTCAAATTCCAACATTTTGATATTACTTAGTTTAAGTTAAAATGAAGGAATTTAGCGAGGAGATTAATTACAGATGTCAATGAGAGATACTCCGTATATGACAAAATATAAGGGATTACAAGTGAGATAATGTACACTCAGTTTTAGGCGCATGAGCTTACTACCATAAGGAACAATACCTATGGAATGAAATTTGAGTGAGATCTATGTATCTGTCTATGACATTTGATGGCCTATTTTGTATTGAGGGAAACCAAACATGTATGGAGTATGGAGTATTATGTAGCTGTTTACTGAATCTACATCTATGACAAACATCTCTCACTGTTTTGATATTTTGAGTTATCCAATCAAAAATTCGAATCGATGAATCATCATAGTTTATTTATGTAACAGGCGAACCCAAATTGGTATGCATTAATTGGTGGTTAGCACGGAACCATTGAACATGAATAGGTACTTTAATTTACCTCAATGCTAATGACAAATTGCTTCGTTAGAATTCGGGGGTGCGCTGCAGTTCTTCTTTCAAACAAATCATCAGATCGTTTTCGTGCCAAATATGGCCTTGTTCATACTGTTCGCGCCCATAAAAGGCGTAGCGATGACAAGAGTTATGGTTGAATATTCCAACAAGAAGATGAGGGGAAGCAAGTTGGTTTTGCATCTGTGGAAAGGTGTTATATGGTAGCCGCAGGGGAAGCCCTGAAAATTAATCTCACCACATTAGGGCCATTAGTCCTTCCTTTTTCAGAACAAGTCCAATTTTTTGCGACCCTACTCGCCCGAGAGGTTCTTAGGGTAAAAATTAAGCCAAACCATCCCGATTTCAAGCTCGCATTCGAGCATTTCTTCGTTCATGCACTAGTAATATGTGTGATGGATGAAATTGAGAAGAATTTAAGCCTAAGTGCATCATTGCCACGGTGAAATTCAATAATTTGAGCTTCTTGATGATACTCTTTGGCCGGAGAATTGAAGTTCCTCTCTCTCCTCACCTATGCCAGTCTCTATTCATCTGAAAAAATATTACAATTTTCATCCCAAATCCTTAATCAAAAAGCTAACCGTTTAGCCGTATTGTGGGCGCCGAAAGAAATATGACCCGGCTTGTTTCTCACTGGTATTCATAAATCTCCACCAATTGTGCCACTGTTTTACAGTTCTATATCCGTATATCCGTATCATGATTTCTATTGGGTTGGTCTTTATTTGTGACTATATATGTTATGCAATGAATACTCCGGGAGTTCTTCCATAATTTTAAAATTTGTTTTGGTTGAAATCTTGTCTTGTTTGCATATAAATGTTAAGTTATTAATTCATAAGAACTGGAATAGCTTTTGACATAGTCTAGCAAGTTTGGCTTCCTCTCGTGGCTGTCATTAGGAAGATCAAATCCAACGCATTTATGTGGTTGAAGAATTTGAGGAAGATTGTAGTTCTGCTTGATTAATCTTTTGCGCTGATTGTTGATAATTTATTTTATGTAAGAGAGGAATTTTAATTCTCCTGCCAAAGAGCATCATGAAGAAACTCAAATTATTGAAGTTGACCGGCAACGATGAATTATGGGGATGAATTTGACGACAAAAAAAAAGAATCTTGGTTTGGGGATGACGATGAATAAAAAGGAAAAAGAAATTTGATAATATATTCTGGTTTTAATTTTATAATGAAGTATTATTTGAAATTTATGAGGTGATGATGTGGATGGCCAATTAGGATTGCTAAGTAGAGTTATAAGTAAAGAGTAGAGTAGAATATCATTACTCTTTGTTTTATTGTTTATATCCCTACCTTCCCGTTTTCACTAAAACATACTCCTTCCGTCCTTGTTATAAAACATTTTAATTTATCTTAAGTTTTGTTTAGTATATTTTTCTAATTAAAAATAAAACTTTAAAAATATATTTTGCATTTATTTTATTTTTTCCAATTATTATTTAAGATTTTATTTTTAATTGAAAGAACATATTAAATGGTTAAAAATAAAAATTAACTTGGAAGGTGTACTGTTATTATTATTTTCTAAAGTTACCATCTCTTTGTTCAAAACGATAATACAGAGAAACCCAAACCCTCCTCTTCAGTGGCATACCAAATTTATATGGCCACTAAATCAAGAAAAACACTAAATAAAATGCTTAACAGTAGATTACACTCTTTTCTACTTCTATTACAAAGATCAAGGCACAAACACCGTTTTCTAGATTTGTTTTTTCTACTTCTTTGACAGAGATTGAACTTTTCCTATTCTGAATTGTTAACAATAATCAACTAGGAAGGTTTATTAAAATATGAATACAATAGTTTCCTCGATCTTGAAATTTATATCTAAGGTGATAAGTCCAAAATTGAATTTATATAATCCAAACTCGACTTTATCTCCAAGTTCTTTGAAATTGAAAGTTTTCTAAATTAATAAGGTACTAATTTATAGATAATCAAATTAATAATATATTTATTTCTTTTTTGGTCAAAAATGCCATCCAGCCGGTTGTTTAAATATTATCTCTGAGATGAAAAAACTTCCTAGAATTTGTTTCTATTAACCTAGGTTACATTTCTAATCACCTACGCTAAACCAAAAATAACTTGTGGTACTATATCAATTTTGTTCAATGACAAATTTGCATTGTCATCAAAATATTCAAGTTACATGTTGAAAGATAAAGAAGGAAAGATGGAGAAATGAGCTTCAGTTAATTCAAACAGAGGAGAAATCAAATATCTTACCATTTTATTCGTATCACCAGCTGAAGTGTAAAAGGATTTCTCTTTATCACTCTCGGATAGGAAGGTTTATGATGGAAGAGAGACGGGTATCCCTCAAGGTCTCAACTTCTTACTCTCTCTCTGGTCCTTGGCTAGTTTAATGAATGAAACATTTTGCCTTCTATATTCTACTCCATGCGTCCATAGTCTAATTTAAAAACAATAATCTACAAATTAAGTCTTCCAAATTGGAAAAAACAAAAGTTACATCTTAAAAATTTTGCTTTATAGTTCTTGGTAATATATCATTTTTCTTACATACTCTAGTTATAGTGGCCTCAATCAGTAGTGGTCTCAAAACAACACAAACACAACTACTACTGAGCTAGCTCATTGTATACCGAAGTATCAGCAAATCCGATAGGTGGTGGAACAAACCCGATTGATTTTGAGAATACCCAACCGCATTTGGTCACATACCGTAATCCCTTTTAAATAACTGGTATTTATACTGAGGAAAAATTGTGCAAAACGTTTGAAATTTTTCCCAATATCTTTCTTCACCTCTTAGCCTTGTATTCTTGTGTCCTCATAAGAATAAAATATTACCTTACATGATAATCAATGTCATAAGAATCTATATAAAGAATTTTTTTTTTTTTTGTAAAATTAATCAACTTTAAATGTATTACTATCATTAATATATATTCGTTTTCCATTACTGGAATGCTTATTCAATCCCAGATACTGGAATGCTTCAAGCAATTCCTTTCCTTCCCTTGAGAGACTAGTTTTGCAGCATTGTCTTGATCTTGTAGAGATTTCTAGCAGTTTTGGGGAGATACCTACACTACAGATGATTGAGATGAAAGAGTGCCAAAAGTCTGCTAATGAATCTATTGGGAGAATTTATGAGTAACAGTGGGAGAGGGGAAATGAGGAGTTCAAGTTCCTAATAACTGGATGATGAAGAGTAACGAGGAACAGAAGTCTGTCAAACATAAACAACCAAGCAGCAACAATAGGAGAGCATGGAACTCTGCAGCAGCAACAGAGCCATCCATATGGTTCGTGACAAGAGAAAATGTAAGATTATAGAGCTTGGAAATTCCATATAGCAAAGTTTGTTTTATTCATACAGTAAGCCTCTTACTGCTTTTGTAGCTATTTTCTGGATGCATTAATTAGTGATATTCAAATGAAATTAGAATTCTCATACAAATTGTATTCATGCTTGTTGAAATCTTATTTTCATGCTAAAAAAAAATAAAAATAAATAAATATTTGTCTTCCATTAAAGTAGAGTTTTTAATCATAGACATCGTTTAGGGAAGGTTTTTAATATTATTATGCCATATGTCATCACTATATTCGTCTTTCATTAAAATGTAAAAAAAAATATAATTAAGTTAAATTAAATTTATAACCATGATTTGACGTCAAAAATATTTACTATATTCCATCAAATCATATAATAATATTGACGTTAACTAAAGTAATCATTCACACAATCAAAGAAACGCAGATTCTGATCATGAATTTTGAAGTAAAAATTGTTCGTCGATCTTATACACACAACTATTTGCAAAATTGAAATTCTAATTATTATGACTTCATTTTAATTTTTTTTTTAATATAAAAATATTCGTACATATCTCGTTATTATTTGATTAGGATTAGTTTTGTTAAAATATAAATAAATTTTATTAGTTAGGATTACCTCTGTTGGAATATCTAAGTAAATTTTATTAATTTTTTCTTTCTGTGAAAGTAAGGGCATAGTGAAATTATCTGAAATTGCACCTTAAGTTTAATTTTAAATAATTTTTAATTTTTTTGGACCTATAAATTTAAAATCACCTAAAGCTACGTATATTTAATCAGTGATAGGTGAGAAATTTTGATTCATGATACCGAAACCATTTTAAAACTTACAGAGATTAGTGATATGGAAAGTATGGAATAAATTGTCATTTTTCCTTATAATTCTCTACCTAAAACCCTATATCTTCTGATTCCATACCCTAAAACCCTTTGTTTCAATCAGAAATTTTGATTGTGAGAAAATTTAGGTAATTTTAAATTTATAAGTGATTTTGAAACACAATATTGCATAGTTTAACACTTAAAAGATATATTGTAAATAGTATTGCAAACCTGAATTGACCGGGGCGCTTCCAAACCCTAACACTTCCAGTTTATGATACTCATGGCTCTCGGCGGAGCTGGCTCTCCACGCCAAACTCCACCGCTGGTATTGAAGTGTCATCTAAAGCCGTATTTAAAGCAACATTCTCTGATTCCATACCTTTCATATCACCAATCTCTGTAAGTTTTAAAAAATAAATTTGTCAATCATCTAAACTATGCAAACCATAAATAGAAAGTTTTAAAAATGAATAGGTACGATCATTTCCTTGTCATTATTCCTTTTAACTCTTTTCTTGTACAAATCATTATTCGTATAATAAAGAGGATATAAAACTTCAATAATGTCATATTCAATTTTGTTCCGAACGAGTTTATACTACAAATTCAAAACAAAATTTTAAATTTTTAAAGATTTAAAATATTCAATTTATCTTTTTAAAATTAAGTTGGGACTAATATATATGCACACTTTATATCCTAGGTTTTGAATTTTAAATAAAGTAAAAATTAAATTGTATAAAATTGGGCATTTTATCTGTGAGTTGATTATAAAGACAAGACTATAATTCTAATTGGTTAATAATACTTTGCGATTTATAATACTTGAAAAAGGTTATATATTAAACTAATTGAAAATCGGGCTGTATATTAAACTAATTGAAAATCAACCAGCCATAAATGATACAAGTAACTTGGCAGAAAAAACTAAGTTATATCATCTATTTCATGAAATTTGACATAATTAGCTATTGCATGAGCTACTTCATTTCCAGACGTGGAATTCAAAATATGGCTTCGAAAGATAGATCCAATAATAGTTATCTAATATCTAACAGCACAGGTAAACAAATTGAAGAACAATCAACTTCTTCTATGGCCGCTGAGATGGCCACCGAAGAATTCCCATGATAGTAGCATTGTTGAGATTGAGATATTTCATCAGCAAAATACATCTTTCAACGCCATAAATTCCACTAAGTCACGTGAAGTAAAATCCTTCATACAACAACTCTTTGCAGAAACGAATCTTCCATGCTGATCACGAGTATAAACACCCATACCAATGCAATTACGAATAAGCAAGATAGTTCCATCAAAAAAATATACAAATTTGTAAATTTTCTGGAGGAAACAAATGCTTAGAACGCAAGGCAGCAGACCGATTATCAGGCTGATTATTTGCTGTCCTAAAATCCTTAAGCATTGGGTCAAAAGATATTGTGTTAAAATTTTAAAATCGAATCGAATTACGCGAGAGCACTAGCTTGAAACTAGTACTATATCCTTAAGAAACCGAAGCTAAGCACTCAAAAGAAATCTAGTCAACTAATCATCAATGAACTATCCTCTGACGTAGCTCTTCAAATCAGAATCCAATAAACTTGAAATTGATAAAAGTAAAAAATTAAAAAAGGAAAAGAAACAAGAGGAAACCCAACAAACAATGAAACTAGATGAAGACGAAATGCACAGGACTCTAATGCTATTTTGGTTCACAAACCTCAAAAAGTACTGGTTCCAACTTCCAATACTAACTTGGCGAGAAAAGAACACCCCGAACCTGTGATTACGAAAGGTTCGCTTTCATAGGATATATTTTTATGATATGACGCAAACCAGGAAATCATTTTACATCCCCAGTGAAGAACACACAATGGGACATAAGATTTTCTTAAACAAGCAATCTATGTTACATAGCAACCAAGTTATCGTGTCTTTGACTTTACAAACTTTCCTCTGGATGCCCTTTTCTCCATCTTTTCCCTTTTTCTGCGAGTCTTTTCATCCTCTTCAGGTCCCTGCATTCTAAATATAAGCACCCAAGTACTATTTTCTTTGTGCAAGAGCTTATACAGAGAGACGTGATGCATAAGATTTATAGAAGAAATACCTCTGCACCACCACTTGGTAAAAAGCCTTTAAAAATCCCAAAGAGCTTATATGCTGCGAATGCTGGTATCTGCAAGAGAAAAGTTCGAGGAATAATTAAAAGAACTAATGCTGGTAATCAAGTTCTCTCAGACAGCAGGCTGGTGAGGGTAGCAAAAGACTGTTCATATTCTAGTGACAAAGTTACTTAGTTCATATAAAGATAGACGAACAGATCAGATCTTGTCAGGTGGACATTACAGAACAGACAAAGAAAGTGCTAAATAAGTATGATTCGCACAGCAGCAGTTTCAAGACCGTTTCACTAAACATTCTCAGGAGTATAGGTAGTTAGCAGAAAATCTAGATAGTGATTGGATAACAGCAGAGAAAATCAGTCTAAATTGACATTTGATGCAGATTAATTTATTTAATAGAACTCTATAAGTCTGCGATCAATTAGTTTAAATGTTGTTAAAGGGTAGAAGTGCACAACACACTATTTCATGGCATCCTCTCAGTAAATCACTATCTCATGGAGAAAACACAAATTTATGCTTTACCACAACTGCCCCAACCAACCCAATCTTAAATTTCATAATTGCCCAAACAAATAGTATTCATAAGGCAAGCCAAGAATATGCCAATATGGTGTCAACCGTAAACAAGCTGATTATTCCTACGAAATCCATCAGCCATTCTAAAACAAACGAATACGCATGTATTTGGAGACACACCATTTCACTAGGAAATATTACTTATGAAAAACGAAACGTTCCAGATCTGTTAGTCTGTTTGGAATGAAAACCTACCAGCAGGGTCTCTAAATCCATGAAAAAGTAAATGAAGTTAAACTCATGCAATGAAAATGTTGCTTCAACCAGCAACGGAGAAATTAAAAAGCATTCACTATGCATGCTATGCAAATTTCTTCAAATTCTACCAACCAATGAACATGTCTGAATTTAGTTATCTGAATTAGTAAACCACGATAAATAACTGTATTCATGCGACGCGCATGCCCACAACTAAGCAGGCCAGAGATCTTACCACCAAATAAATGTACCAGAACTTCTCTGAGAAGATGGAAGCGAGTTGGACAAAGCATGTAATGTAGATGACATCATGCAAATATCTGCATCCAGAGAAAAACGGAAAAATGAAAAGCCAACACTAAAGGTAGACATAAAACTTTGATTACGGATCTTTAAAAGAGCTGTAACGTAAAATTCAGTTTGCAGTATGTGATAGACACATTCGTCAGCACTTCTTCTTCACACTGTTCACTTCGAAAAGAAAAGAAATACACATAACAGCCCATGCAATAAACAGGAGCTCTGCACTTTCCAACAACAAAGGCAACTTGGTTTGGACATCACATGAATATACAACAGGAAAAAATTTCATTAACTACATGTAACCCTATTAACAAAGCAAGCTAATCACAAGGTTCAGATATAAGATAACAAATAAACTTGATAAACACAGCGTCGAAACACAATCACAGACACAAATAAACCACACCATAATAAGATTTTCTAAGTTTATTTGACTTGACAATAAGGAGAAGAACTGGCATCATTTCCATTCTTGCAAGTTTAGCATCACGCTTGCACTCAATTATTACATGAACCAATTATACACCCTTTAATTCATTTCCAAGCTAGTTACACTTGAAATGCACATCATAATTCGTAGAGCAATATTCAGTATAGTAAATCCCAATACATATCACATATTCTAATTTTGTTTATTTCATTATCACCTATCCCAGCACCCAAATGACACAAAGAAATAAATTTTCTCTTTAACACTGGAATCCTATAAATTGAAGTCCAAATACGAAAATTTCTCTGCAAAAGATATTATTTACCTATACCTCTTTTCTCAGTTTATGTGCCAAGTAGATAACTCATAGTCACAAAACCAATAAACTAAACGAATTCATTCTATTTTACATAACATATGACGAATTAAAACAACATTAGAACAAAACTATAATAACTCTTCTTCAAAGAATCATACCCACAAATTCCACCAGTGCTCATATCGAATCCGCCATCAATGAGCTCCCCGTCGTCGCTATAAGTCGGCCTGGACATGGCGTGGAGTTGCTGGTAAGGTATGATGTAAGCAAACGCCGTCAGCAACAATCCTCCCATGTGTTTCCACTTGAAACTCGAGTACATAAATCCTGCTCTCACCACTAAATATATAACCTAAACAGCAACAAAACAATGAAGAAAAATCAAAGAAAAAAACAAAAAGCAGGAATTCGTTTGAGCTCAAGTTTAGATCATAACAAAAAATCTTGAGTCCAATTAACTTCCGAAGATCAGAGAGTACTAACGTTGCTGATAATGATGGCATAGCGCAGATTCTTCATATGACGAGCATTCTCATCTTTGCGCTTCTTGGCTCCTTGATTGGCCATCAGAGTTGCAGCGTCGGAGTTAGAAACGATGTCGTTGATACAGATGATTTTTACAAAGAGTCGCCGGACAGAGAGGATTCCACTTTCCCCAGTGATTTTTGCTTATTTATTCCTTTTTGTAGCTTCTCAAAAATTTCATATATGATCCCTGTATTATTTAGAAATGTCGTTTGGAGTACCTCCAGCTCCAGTTCAAAATAGTCCGTTAATGCGTCATCAATCCATTTGGTGGTAAATAAGAAAATAAAATTAAAAATTTCGTTTTCTTTTATTCCTACCTTTGCTTGGACTTATTATATAGTTGGTGTTATGAGTGCATGTCACTATCTCAATATAATATTATCTTTGTCCTACAAAAATCATTTATATTATAATTTATGCTAGATATATTTTATAATTTATAGTTTTTTTTTTTTTGTGATGGAAAGAGTGAAATTACTAAGACAAACTTTACTAGTTAAAATACATGTCTTATGACGATTCATCAAATTGTAACTGGCTTTGACGACAGCATGTATAAAGGATGAGTTTCGTTTGTTAAGATTGACCAATTAATCGTACGGTAAACTTATCACAATTTTAATATTGCGTGACTAAATGAATATAATGAATGTAAAAGAATGTCACCTTGAACAATAAAAAGATGATATCAAAAAGACAACAATACTAATAGTACAATTATATCTAATTTCATTTGAATAGTTGTTTTGATTTTAAAGTTCCTTTTTTTTGAATATTTATTTTCTCTTTTGGCCAACTAATATTGGGAAAAGGAAGAAAAAAATTGTTTTTTTTTTTTTTTGTAATGAAGTCCATGCACAACCTGTATGATAAAACACGCATCAACTCTTCTCTTCTCTGTTTCATTTCTCAGCTTCTGTTTGCCTCATTAATAATTCCCTTCTGTAGTTATAATTTGGTGGTATTTCTTCTGGGCTGATCAAAGGGTGGCCGCCATTTCTTTTTCCAGTGGTAAACATGAGCGATCCTTATCAATTATTCCTCTTTTTTCCCCTTTCTTTTGTTTCATTTAGAAATGACAAATTTCCAAAATGATTCGGGTTCGTCTTCTGATTGCCAAATACTTTGCATGTTGCATGGTGTTCCTTTATCTGAGCTAACTCCAAGAATTATACATATTTTCGTTCTATTTACCAATTGAATGTTGCTATTTTAATTGATTGATTTAGAACATGTTAGAGGTCCAAAATGTTGAGGAATCACTTGTTGATGACTGATTAAAGAACCCTTTAGAAGTCTTCCTTTTTCCTTTCTTTTTTTTGATCTGAAATTTCACTCATTCTTTCAATCTCTTGATTTGATAGTATTTTGGTTCATGTCAGTTTGTTGCTTGATTTTTTTCCCTTTAATTTCAATGTTTTTCGTGAATGCATTTAGATTTTGGGGAACAATAGTGAAGTCCTTCCTGATTGATTGTATTAGTACAGCATGGCTTTGTAATGACTGCTTATTGTTCATGTTTTCACCAGAACGCAGCATAAGTTCTAAATTGAAGCTTTGATAAGGTAAAGCTTAAGTTACACTTGTCTGGTTTTCAATGTTTTTAATTAGCTATTAGGCGACATATGATCCATATAGCCGACCCCACCTAGTGGGAAAAAGGCTTGTTGTTGTTGTTGTTGTATTCATCTTAGTTTTGGAGTCTTTGTTTTGGTTTTCTTCTTAAAGGTATGGCATCTGGAAATACTGCTCCACAGAACTTTCGAAAAGCTCTCGGAGCTTTGAAAGACTCAACAACGGTTGGAATGGCAATAGTTAATAGTGAAAACAAGGTAATCATGCCCTACTGATTACTATTTTCATATCATCTGTTTACTTTGGCTATAGATCGAAAGTTCAATTGAGATAACATTTGTAGTATAATTCATTTTAGGATATGGATGTTGCCATTGTCAAAGCCACAAAACACGATGAAGTCATTCCAAAGGAGAAACATGTACGAAGTGAGTTAAACTTGTCTGTGTGCATCAAACTAAATTTGGAGTACTTTCAATAGTGATTGTTTGTCACATATTTCCTTCGTAAAATTAACTTATTACATTTCCAAGTATCTGAATGAACCCACTCCATCATTGTGTTTGTGATGTGGTTATGAATATCCTTTTTGTATGGCAAGTGAAGAAAAACTAAATGAATTTGATCTCCCTTATCATCAGAAATCTTGCTCTCATTATCATCCGCGAGCCCTCGAGCTGATGTCGCTTACTGCATACATGCGCTTGCTCGGCGCCTCTATAAGACACATACTTGGACGGTAAGCCCTGGTGAACTTTATCACTTACAGTTTTCTTTCATCTGTTGCATGTTGCATGTCTCTGAACTTTATTACTTTCAGTCTTCTAAAAAGTTGCAGAATGGTGAAGATTGGAATTGCTGCACACTTTCTTCAGATTTCATGTACAAATGATTGATGGATTAACAATGCGTACTTTGCTCATCTCAGGTGGCTTTAAAAACTTTGATTGTAATTCATCGTGGTTTGAGAGAAGTTGACGCAACATTTCAACAAGAACTTATTAGTTATAATGACAGCAGAGGGCATCTACTCAGCCTATCACATTTTAAGGATGATTCAACCCCCAGAGGTATGCATTATTCTTCATTTTGTTGTACATCATCTGGAACTGAGAAACTGGGTTTTGTTTTGTTCTTATTTTTCTTCTCTTGTGTGGGATGTTTGTGTGCCTTAAGCATGGGAATGTTCATCCTGGGTTCGCTGTTATGCTTTATATCTTGAAGAATCCCTGGAATGTTTCCGATCACTGAAGTTTAATATCCAGAAGGATTACTCGGTATGTAGTTAAGATTGAGCGAAACTAATCTTCTTTCTTTGCTGGTATCATTTTCAGAACACTGAAAATACTTTAGTCGTATATGAGAATGTATGATTAATTAAGTTCTTCTCTACTTTGAGGAAAATGAGTAATGGTAATATAGATACATTATGGATTCCAAGTTGCCAATTTCTAAGAGTAGGATGTTGTTCAATCATTATAAGATCATAATCACAAACTAATATCATCGGAATTTTTGTTCTGATTCATGATTTTGTGCTTATGTTTTTATACTCGCAGTATGTCTTTCACTGGACTAAGAAAATTCTGCATTTCTTTTATTGTTAACCAGAAAAGCAAAGTTGTTGCATCTCCAGATTTGCTAGAGCAGTTACCCAGATTGCAACAACTTCTATTCCGTCTGCTTGATTGCCAGGTTAACCATTATCTCTATTTCAATCACAGCTTGTAGCATTACTATTTAACCAAACGACTATTGTGTGATTGTCTCATGAGAAATGTTAAACGCCTCTGTACAGCCATCTGGAGGAGCTCAATACAACTTCTTGATTCAGTATGCTCTTTCAATAGTAAGTAATTATCTACATTCTCTACTTGATATGGAATCTTGATTTGGTCGGAATTAATATCTTTGTATAACAGTCGTAGTGCTCCAGGTTGCGGCTGAAAGTGTTAAGCTATACGTGACAATTACGGATGGCATTGTTAATCTGGTTGACAAGGTATATTATTCAAAGGTTATCCCATCAAATCTCACTATATTTAAACAATATTCTGGTTTTTAATGGTATAAGTTTATGGCAGTTTTTTGAGATGCAGCGCCATGATGCAATCAGAGCACTTGAAATTTATAAGAAGGCAGGAAAGCAGGTATGATGCTTAGTCCTCTTTTCCGTCCAAAGATTTGGTTTCATCCAAATAATATCAAACCTAAACAAGATATGAAATGCATACAGGCAGAGCAGCTGTCCGAGTTCTTTGAGTTCTGCAGGAACTTTGAGTTTGGAAGAGGGCAAAAATATGCTAGAATTGAACAAGTACGATATTCTTTACTCCACTTACATTGTTAGCATTATAGAAGAGTTCATATTTAGTGTTTCTCTTTTTAAGAAGATTGAACTGCAGGCGCCTGCATCCTTCTTGATAGCCATGGAAGAATATGTAAACGATGCTCCACAGACTATAATGATGATTGCCTGGAAGGGGGTAAGCTCATGTGTGTCGACCAGATATCATAATCGCTTTATTTCATTCCTCTGGCATTAGCTTTTTTACATGACAGATAAGGCATTAGTAGCTACTTCCTCCGTACCAAGATTATTGTCCAGTTTGGACTTTCATGTTTAGTTCTGTACTAAAAGTGAAACCTCAAACTGGACTATAATTTTGGGACAAAGGGAGTATATTATGTTTCTATGCTGTCATATAGTTGGACAAATGATCAACTTTATTTTGATGTGTCTGTTTTAACTTAACCAAATTTTAAAGGCAACTGTACAACAATTTCTTTACATTTATTATCCATCTTCTTTTTGTGGTCAGAATGATAATGACAAAATGGGAAATCCCGAAGAAATTACTGCAGAAGAGACTAGCTTAGGTGTAAACCAAGAGCCAGATGATGAGACACAAAAGTGTTCAAGCGAATCAGACCCCTCGATGGCGACTAATGACAAGGGTGATACTAAAGATACAGCGCTGATTGCAGATTTGCTGGTATGGGATTCATATTAAACTTCATGTCAAAAAAATGGCAAATCTTTTGTTCTCTGCTCAAACTGTGCCTCATCTTTCAGAATTTGGACGATTTGTCACCAGAGCCTATTATAGCTGATACAAATCCCCTAGCTCTAGCAATTACCACGCAACCTGGTATTCCTCTTTCCTTGAGTTATGATGTATTACATTTCTTGTAAAGAACATGGCTCTTATTTTTTCTATAATATGTTAACACATGCCTTATCAGCTGATCAGTCTAGTACACCTCCTGTCACTGACCTGATGACCCAATCTAATTGGGAGCTTGCACTTGTATCCACGCCAAGTTCGGGTCTCACACCTATAACATCTAGTACCATGGTAAATCCTGTGCATTAAAAGCACTGTGCTGTAATGCCCTATGTTTTGAGTTTCATTTTTCAGAAGTTGATTTCCAGGATTTTGGCTAGGTTACTATAATGCTAAAATTTGTTCCCATTTCTTTCCTGTTGCTATGTATCTATTTAGGGAGGTGGCATAAACAGATTGACCCTGGATACTTTATATGATGCCGCATTGGCGCAGAAAAATCCAAATGGAATCTACGAAGTAACAGGAGTCTCGGCATCAAACCCTTTTGAAGATTCAGCTTATTCGTCAAACCCGTTCTTTCTTCCTACAAATGCAGGACAGCACATTGATGCTCAAGTCTTGAGTATTACGCAGAATGAAGAACCTCTCATGCCACAACCTCAGCAATATTTGGTACCAGGTCATGAGCCTTCAAATCCTTTTGGGAATCCATTCATTGTTGACCAAGGAACCTCTTATCCATCACACAATCAGTCTCAACAAGCCGGCTAAATAGAATATGGTACCAAAATTTAACAATATGGATGAGCATTAGAGGATCCTCATTTGAGCAGTATTGGATTATAAAGCACCTGGTTATATGTATCAAGGTTGCATTTTATGATTTACTCAGATTAGGATACAACTCATGTCATTGAATAGAAAAGATGTAGTTGTGCATTGCTGGACAGGGTTTTTCTGGGTCCAAGGTTTTGCATTAACCTGATTTCTCTTGACTTAGAATGTAAATTTGAATAGAATTAGTCTTATGTTGTGCATCTTCCATTTGCTTACTTTAGTATGTACCTATTAATAGTGCAAATTAGTGGAGCTACTCAGGAGTTGTTCAAAGTTATCAGTTTACAGTTCAGTTTTATGCAGTATGAGGAGTAAGAGTTTAAGTTTGTAGAACTTCCGTTTTTCAAATGAAAATGATTGATTTATAGCAATATCGACATAAATCGTGGAGAATGATCAATGAGAAAACTACTCCCTAGTGCCGATCTACCCAAGTCTCTTCTCTTCTAAGCCTAATCTCTATGTTGTCAGGTGTTTCAAGGAGCAGACCGACTAGCACATTGATGGCGAAATTGGAAAAGAAACATGATGAATGTTAGACCTCTTGGTCATTTCTTAAGCAAAAATTATTCTTTTCCGCTTGGCTTAGGCCGAGAACTTACAGTCTGCTGATTTACTCTTTAAGCTAGTGATCAAGACGCATAGGTCCGGAAATTTTTCTCATAGGAAAAGCTTGCACATTTCATCAACTTACTTGTCACATCGCATACATAGGGTCAGAAGAAGCTTTCATTTCATGAACTTTTTCATCCGGATAGAATTATCGACGCATAAGTGGACAAATTTTCTATAAATAGAACTTCTACTTTGTCGACTTCTCCATTGCCCTAGATATTGCGACGCACATTTCCATGAAGCATTTGAAACAGGAAAACCGAAACCTGCACGTTGTCGACTTAGTCGTCCAGTTGAAGATCTTGATGCATAAGTCGACGAAGTTATTTCTAAGTGAAACTTGAAATTCGTCGACTTGATCGTCGGGATAATGTTCACGACGCTAAAGGCGACAAAGTTCTTAAAGAAGAAATTTGCACTTCGTCGACTTATTAGTCGGGATAATTATCTAGATGCCAAGTCGACGAAGATTTTAATGATGGAAAACTTTCACGTCGTCGACTTATCTGTGGTGATAATGATCTTGACGCCAAAGTCAACCATTATTTTCTCCAAGGAAAACTTGCACTTCATCAACTTAACTGTACAAAGTTTTGCACAAAGAAAGAACTTGATTTGTTGCGCTTTTGATCGTAGTAGCTTAGTTGATGAGTTTTTTCCATGAGAGAAACTTGCTCCTGACTACCGAAGAACCCTTAAACGGCAGAATGATTCTAAAGCTGGATTCAGACTGAATGATGCTTGAGCAGTCTCTTGTCAGGAGTGAGGAGGGATTTGTATCATGGGACAGTAGCTTTCCTAAGGCCCATCCTAGTTATCAGAAAATCAAAAATAAGCAACAAGAATATATAACGATTTAGGCTATGTGAATCCAGAACTTATGAGCTGATCATCATTTGATGATGGAGCCAATAACCACTGGGAGAAATTTGCCACTTCTATTAATGATCTTCATGAATTCTCCCTTTGAGACATTCACCTTCCTCTTCTACAGGAATGCTCAATCTGCTCACCGGCGTGAAACACATATAACTCACACCGGCGCCCCTTTGTATCACAGTGCATCCACTCCCTGATGATGCATCAACGGTTCTATCGGCAATCTGGAACTAAGAGTATCCCTTTCTATCACCTTTATATCACAATGACTGCATCCACTCCCCGGCGATGCATCAACAGTTCTACCAGCGGCAATCTGAAACCAAAAGTATCTTTATCGCCACTTCGTCATGGCAAACTCCCTGTGAACTTTGCATGAGGCTACGATGTTATGTTAGACATATAATGTTTACATCAAAAGTGAAGACCAAAGCCAATCTAGCTTCTTATTAATAGTCCATTTTCAGCACTTAGCACGAATACGATATGGTTATGGTTGCCAAAGAGAACAACGTTTATATAATCTTCTGAATGTAGATTTTAGAAGGAAAAAAGATTACAGGCATTGAAGGATGGATTAAATAGGAATAGATTTGTTTCCCTCTTTCTCTTTCCCCTAAATCCCCTCAAAGGAGCCGATACATCTCCCCACTCTGTTCTATAAAACATGAACATAGAGCAATTGAACAGTTGAACTACTCGTAGCTTGTCCATTTTCTCTGTAAACGCATTTTAATGTCTTGGTACAGGTAAGGGAATCGCACCTTTACATTTTCATTGAAATCTTTTAGTTGTTTGATGTACAAAACTTCCCGCCTCCTGGGTATGTTACAGAAAGGAAACTGAATCTGTATTTGCACTATATTAACCGCCAAGTGAAAATTCTGTGAACAAAATCGATCTAAGTAATATTGTGCCTTTGTTTCAGTCTTATCCAGTGAAAATCTTCCTAAAATCCTTCCGATCCTTCGCAGCCTCAGTTATGGCAAGGAATTTCTTAAAGCCGCTAGTGTATGCACCTCGACCAAGTGCAGCTGCTCTGACAAAGACATCATCTCTGACCCCCATGCTTCCATCTGATGTAGTACTCAGTAACACGGGTGCAGGCGGAGAAGATGCTGGAACAACTGATGAACTTGTAATAGTTGGCTGAGTAAGTCCAGAACCACGTTTACTAAAATCGTCCAGTATGGCTTGCTGGTCAGTTCTTCTCAAGCCCTGAGCGAAGATCAACCAAACAAACAGAAACATCCGTCAACGAGTCAATGAAAACTTAGTCATCTTTAGATTTAAACCACTACTTGAGTCCTAATTGCTTATTTCATATTTAAACACACTTAAGACTCATTGCATATCTCATATATGTACATGTCTGATCCTGAGACTTGTTGCAAAAAATACACCAGTCTTAGGTATCTGCAGCCAAGACCATCCATACACAAAGAGCCGTGGCGGAAACAAGTAAGCTGCTGAGCTTTGGTCAAATCTAAAGCTATTCCAGGGCCTCACCAAAAGTCTGATCTCATATGTTATGTTATTCACTAAGGAGATCAGTTCTAATCTATTTAGTACAGCACTAGTTGTACTCCACGCACAGAAATAAATACTTCTTCAACCTTTAGAATTCCAAAAAATGGAAATCAGAGAAACATGGAGAAAGGGAGGATCATAAACCTTGAGCTCTAGAATTCTTTGAAACTCAGTGGGTGTACCCTCAGGCAATAGCGCACAGTATGTATCAGCAACAGAATCAATGGGGGACAAAATAACCTTCACAAAGAAACATGTTGTCAGGAGAGGATATTATCTTTAAAATAGAGAGCTCAAACATTCTGTAAGCCACTAACCTTTAAGAGTGCTTCAGCTTTGCTCATCTCACGGCTAACAAATGTGGAATAGCTGGAAGCTCCTGAAGTCTGTTTATAGAAGAAACAAAGCTGATAAAGAGTGGGAAAGCAACTAAGTGGAAACCTCGTCAAATTTATGGTTTGCAATTCATCACTTAGGTTGACGAGCAAGTGGGCATGACATAAAACATGATTCCCCATGAAGTGTAGGCCATGAAAGCAATTACAATTAAATGTTTTACATTGTGGTGGGTTAGATTACCTGCTTTGCAAGAGAAGGAATATCCAAAAGAATAGTTTTTACGGCCTGCGTATCCAACAACATCTGCAAGTGCACAAAAGCTTGTTCTCATTACATGCAACAGAAAAGAAAAGCCAAATACTACTAGCTTAACTAACTATATAAGTCATTCGAACATTCAAAAAATTTTCACATCTAGCTTGATAATGTTGGATGTATATTAGGCCATAGTAATGTAGGACACATCATGGACACACAAATAACAAGAAAACAAAGACTATGCATACTTGTTGAGCTCCTGTTTCTGTTATCTGCTTGCATTTGAAGATGTTGAGATAAAAGCGTGGAGCAAGAGAGGATGCAAGCTGCATTCAACAAAAGATTATGAGCATCTGAAATGAATGAGCAATAACTACCAAGCATATATATATATTTCCAATTTAATTTCAAGCTGTCCAGGTTGAGATCATCAGAACCTTTATAAGATGCAAAATAGTAAAATGAAACTGAAAGAACTAAAATTCATATTTTACCTTGTCAAGAAAGAATTGGAAGTAAATTGAAGAGAGAAGGCTCCCAAGGACGGGGATGCTACTACTAAATATCATATTTATTCCGTTGACGTATCTGTAACAGAGTTCAGAGAAGAACTTGGAATTACTAGCCAAAGTTACAGCTCATAACAAATTAATAAGGTAACAAACCCTTCTTACCCAGATTGATCACCAACGCTTTCAAGGGTACCCCATGGAACTCTTGTCATTGCAGCCAACTCCGCATCAAATTTAGTCTCTATACCATGTACCAGTGTCATCAATGCTCTTGTTATAACTGCTGAAAATTCATCCTGCATTGAAGGAAAGTTGGATAAAATTTGTTGACAAATATATATATACGTAGCAGATGAAATTTTAGTACCTGTACTTCTGACATATCAACTTTGTCCACGAATTGAGGATCAATTATTTTGGAAACATTTTCAGCCAATTCACCGGACTGCCAGGATAAACAAAACATAAAAAGAGAAGAAAATAAAAAATCTAAGGTCCTGAAAAATATCATTCTGAAATTATAAGCAGGAAAAACAGGACTGAATCAAGTCAACTAACATCAAAGAATCACATAACTAGTTTCTTTATTGTCTTTGCCTACTTTCAGCTTTAGACTAGAAGAATTAATTTGATAAAAGACTCACTGAAATGAGAATTTTATTGAAACAGGAAAATGTGGCCCAGTAAAGTAGAAAAACCAACTGAATTTTCTAAGTTGTCAATCAAAAATGCAGAAAGGTAATCGAACAAAATGCACTCAAGAAAACTAACCGTTTTATGGCAATACTCGGAAGTATTCACAATATAGCAAATCAGCCTTTCATCCTTATCGGATGTCTGCAAGTAATAGGCAATCATCAAAATGAATAAATCAGTATCGGGCCACGAAGGATTTTTTTCACATAACTATGAAGAACCTACAAAATATGCAGATACCTTTATCTGCCCATCCATTCCTGTTGCAGCAGCTACAATACCAGTTCCCCCTCTGGGTAGCCTAGCATAGAGCTTGGTAGCATATGCTTTAAGAGTTCTTTGAAATACCTATCGTTAAGTAGACAAGCACAATCCCTTTCATAAATTAGAACAACAAAGAGTAGAGAGTGAACCATAAACAGAGATCCAGTTATGATGGTTGGAAATCTAACAATTCAAATTTCTGATGTTGCAAAAGGACATTTATGAAAAATATAAATCGTATCATCCTTAATACAGCAAGACTGTGGAGCCAATGTAATTTAAATAGCAGATATAAGGGGAAACATTTCATGACAAAAAGATAGACCTATCAGATTTACCTTCTCCAACTCAACTCAAGCAGTTCTGAAAGTTTGAAATAGAATAGTAACCCGAACATGCCAAATTTCACAAATTTCACACCATCTAATAGTAAGTCGCCATTCTGGTACCTAAATTTCATGTCTATCAGAGACTTTAATGTAGGATACCTTTTCCTACCAACTCTACTTGAGGAATATCAATTGTAGGTGCCAAAAAGTCAATGGAAACAACATTTTATCTTTTTTCTTCAAGAAGAAGATGAAGACTAGATGAGAAAACACCAAAAGTTATGCATCGGTATCTACATAATCACTATCCAATCATCTTTACCTACACAGGAAGCTCACCATAAGGTCGCATTAACTTAAGATTCAAAAGGACAAACTTGATAAAGCCTTTGTATCTAGCAACAAAACTTACCTTGAACAAGTTAAGTAAGGTCTGGTATTTGGTCAAAGCACTGCATCGCTTTAAGCTTCTCCGGATAATCAGAAAAACCTACAAAACAAAATCCAAAGGAACAAAAAGGATAAGACAAAGTTGTATTCTCCAACGTGGCACCAGTCTGAAAGCAGCGTGCTTAAGCACATAAATCAATATGTGTTCACCTAAGTGCCTCAATGAAATAGAAAAAAATAAAATCGTAGATGAAGGAAGATGGATCAATAATGACAACATGCGATGCCTACTAATTAATGTTCACGACACATCAAATTTTTTCACTCATTAGTCAACTACTTGGCATAGCATAATAAGCTTTTAAGCTGTTTCAAGCTCAAAATATCACTCAAAACAAGGCACAGAATTCATCATGGTGGTGAAAAATGCCTGAGATAGGACATTGGGTAGATTGAAGCAGCAGCACCAATCAAAAGAACACACATCTTACTACATGCACTAATTGGTTAGTGCGACAACAGTTTCCAAGGATTGATGTTGAGCAAAGAGGTTCACAAGAAAGGCAGTTTCCTGTTCAGAAGCCAGCCGGCTTTATCATAACTAACTAATGCCATCAAAGCATCCACTGCAATAAATTTTACAAGGCTATTTAGCATTTGCTATGAAGTGGAAGACAAGCAAACGTGAAGACGTATGCATTTCACTATAAAATTTATGAAAACCTTTCAAGGATAGTGATTTTTTTACCCATGCCAAGCCTGGCAATAGGTTTACTTAGTTCAAAAGCCGCCTCCCACATTGTTAGTTGAATCTAGAAATGATTCTGTCAAAAGTTACATCACATTCGCAAATTCGCAAAACTAACAGGTAAGGCTATCGTCAGTTGGAATGATAACATGATGTAAAATTTTCCACAACTTTAATGCAAGATATGGAAGGGAAATCTCAAGGGGAAAGTTTCCAACTTGTGGGAAAACGCTGTGATGTGGATTCAGGTTTAGAATCCCTTTATAGAAAAAGGCATAAAAAAGCGACAACAACCAATAGAAATCTAGCATTCAAAAAAAATTTTTAAAAAAAAAAAAGATATGAAGACATAATACACAAAGCAGATCATCCAATTCATGTTCAAATTCGACTGTCTTGGCATACATACCTGCATGCTACTTGATAAAATATTTGTCTGGCTTCCTTCTTCAATGTCCCATGTTTCTTCCTGCGATTAACAGAGCAATGTTCCTTTAATAGTGATAAGAAAGACACGGGAAAGACATACAATGTGGAAGATATCTATAAATTGGCTGCTACCTGCACAAGTTTCTCTAGATTTTCCATAAGTGTCTTCTCTTCCAGTTCCACATAGACTATCAAGTAAGGTTCAAAGCAAGATGAAATGATCCCACGAAAGTTGAACTGTCAATATAATCACATACCAAGTCAGATTTGACAATACTGTATGAATCAAGACCATACAAGCAGATATAAAGTAATATGATGATATAAACACGCATTTCTACTTATTCGTCGCTATTTTTTTCCGACAAAATATCTATTTGGCATCGTTGTAGTGGTCCAAAACAGGGGAAGGCACTAGAGAAAATAATTTTTATATGATTATTTCTGGTGGATAATCTTGCTGAGCAGAAAAAATATTGTGAAAACTGGTGCCAGTTACCCTGCAGCTCAATCATTTTAGACTTACTATAACTGAAAAAGGGGAGGAAGAAAAAAGGATACACATCTTTGAATTATATAATATAGTCTTACCCCAGCTCCAGGAGCAGATAACTCACTGCGCCCTTCTGAACTCTAATGGCAAAGCAAGAGGTGAAACTTCAGTTAAAAACGACTTCCTGATGTCGTCTATAAAGCATCAATCAAATCAAACATGTAGTAATTTATACCTCTTCTCCACTCCCCTGATGCCTAGCAAGCTTTTTCTCATACTTCTTTCGAATATCTGAGACATTATTTACCGAATCTTTTTCCTCACCATCAGTGCCTGTTTCTTTGTTTCCAACACCACCACCAAATTTATCTGCTAATTCTTCCTCAAATTCTAGGGTTCTCTGTAGGGCCTGAAAACAAGCACCATCATTTATTCACCTCTTTTCATAGAAAAGTTACGAAAGAGGTATTAGCGAACGGAAGAAAATACTACAAATACGTTTTCCAGCAAAAAATTTCAAGCTATAGAGAAACAACTGCAAGACAAATCCAATCATAAACCATTTCAAATAATAAACCACTTTAGGGAATCCAAAGGACTATTTTGTGATTAAAGTGCTTGAAACTGTTGCTCTGAACCTAATTCCTCTGCCATTAGCCTTGATTTGAGAGGGAAAATCTATTGTGCATAGGTCTTGCACACAGAAGAGCATATTTATAGAACAAAAAATAAGAACCGGATATTAGATTATGCCATGATGAACAACATGCACTAGCATTACCGCAAGAATGCTACACTAGGTGGTCCAGACAAGAATGCTACATCTGATTACTGTTCCTTGTATATAGCCTACTCCAAGACAATATGTACACAAGTCTCTGATTACTGTTCCTTGTATATAGCCTACTCCAAGACAATATGTACACAAGTCGGATGCTTTGATAGCCCAGGAGAGATATCACAATGTACAATTTTTCACTTTTCCACTTTTAAAACAATGTGAACGGCTATTCAAAGTCAAGCTTCTACAATCTGGTCCTACGATATGACAAATTAAAAAAAAAAAATCTCCATTTATTATAAAAATATGATTACTTACAAAAGCTTTATCTTGAGCATTAATATGCACACACAACTTGACCTTTTTAGTTTGAGACCACAAGACCTGTTTTCACTATATGCAACTGCATAAAGGGCTGGACTACTTCCTCCTAGAACAGCTAGCTATATGAGGTCCTTGTCAATTTACTTCCAATAATTCATCTCAGGCATGCTTAAGTATCATCTAATATATATTGGATGAGTTGAGGGTTAAAATTCTAAAGCATCATTCAGCTCCTTGAAAAAGTAAAAGCTGAAGATGAAGCCTAAACCAATCCTCGGTGGCTTTTTCAAATCAACCATTGTTATGAAATTGGTTAGCAAATAATGAAAAGCCGAAATCACATTACAAAGGCCACTAACATTTAGTTTCTGTCTGAACTTGCAAATTCTTCACATTACAAAGGCCAAAATCACATTACAACTAAGCCATCCTTTTTTCAAGTTTTTCAATTTGAATGACAGACTTAAATTTCATTTAGATTATTGAAAAAAGGGCCAAAAATTGACGATGCGGTTTACATCCTGCCTTGTTGCAACCACTGCAAATGAAGAGGTCTAAACAACTTACCATCAATAAAGCTCCAACATCTGGTTTCTCTTTCAGATTGTCAAGGATATCCACAAGTTGCATCCTGAAGGATTCAATGAATACAGGACATGATTAAGTTAATTAGCCCAAAACTGTCATAAGCAAAATTAAAGGACTCCTAATTTCGGAGATGGGCATATGGCCAACCTTGTTAATTTGCAGAACTGGATGCAAAGCAAATATGCTACATGCCACGAAGGAGGGAAAATTTTCCAAATCTCCTCATTTGTTCTTAATCGGCGCTTTATCCAAGCATATCTCCTTTCCGCTTTATCCAACTTAGCTAACTCTGAAAAAATTTAGGGTAGACATTTTCAAGATCAAAGACACTGAAAATCTCATATTAAATTGAACAGAAACAAAAGATATAAAGTACAAACCAGCTCCTTCAAATATCTGTTGATATGATGTAAGCTCCCTGTTGCAGAAATTCTTTACCAACTCCTCCCTCACTGATGGCTCCAACGCATCAACAACCAAACACGCATCTGATAACTGCTGTAGCAAATTGCTCTCCTCAGTCTCTTTACCAGTACCTAAGCTGGCAAAAGCAAATTGCATTCTTAAGAGAGAAAGCACAGAGCAAAACATAAAGAAACACAGTCCATCTGATCAAAGAAGAGAAAGGACACAGAACAATTATGCTAACAAATCAAATACAGTATTTTTCGAATATAGGAATTTTGAATTGAAAGAGCGAAGGAACAAACAACTGCAGTCAGTTTTGCATTTATGATTCATCTATGTCACACGATAAATGAGGGTAGTTTGAACTTCAATCCAGATTCACCTGGAGAAATCAGAGAAAACATATGTCTTGAGTATTTGCTTTATGCTCTTGAACTTCTCCTTGAGCTCTGTAATCTTTGGAATATCTCTATATGCTTCAAAATGGCTGCATAACTGGTTTACAGCCTGGTATCATCAAAAACCACAATAAGAAATAGGAATACTGTTTGACACAGGACAAAAACGTGGTGGTTAAGAAATCAGAACTTAGGCTGATTAAAGAGTAGTATGCAGCGGAAAATCAATAGAAAACTGCAGGGAATAAGGGTAGAAATTGCAGGAAAACAGTAGGAAAAGAGAAGAAAACTTAAGAATCAATCTTAGGGCCCTTTGGCGACACACCACAGGAATCCTAGGCATCACACCAAGGGTTTAGTTGAGTCACACAACTGTTGTTGAAAGCAAAAGCTCGCAGGAATTTTATTAATCTGATAACTCTCCAAAACCCTCAAACGAGGTACATATATATAGGCCTAAAACTTAACCTAAACCAAAGACAACTAGGATTCTCACCTAATTTCCTTTTTATTCAAAGAAAATCCTGCAGCATAACTAATATACTAAAATACCCTTTCCTAAATATTAATACTAAAATAAACTAATTAAATTACTGCTTAATAAAGGATTAACTAAACCAAAGTCCTAATACTTTGGCTTCTTCCTTGGATCATTATGATAATCCTGGGCATAAATATGGAAGAACCTACTGATAGGGTTCTTCTACCATTCCTTGTCCCCATCATTCTCCCCTGGTTCGAAAAAACTCGTCCTCGAGTTCTAAAATGTCTGAGAATGAAGAACCTGACAATCTGAAACATAAGCCATGGCACTGCAGCATATTCAACATGAGAAAACTTCTTTCGGCCAAATGTAGCTATAAGAGTAGACATTTGGAATGTACTTGCTGGTTTGTGGTCATAAACCTCTCCAAAAATGAAATCAACTTTCGGAATTCCAGGATCATAAACTTTTGAATGGCATGTCTTTAAACCTTGATTCAACTTAACAAAATTTCCATTCAGACTTGTAGCAAGGTTTCCATGAATCAAGTCAGTTGACTTCTCACATGAACCAGAACCTCCCTCCAGTTTAGGATGCAAAATATTTCTCAGTAGGGCTCCTCCTTTAGCTACGTCCTCTTGAATCTCACCAAGATTGAGAAGTTGTACTTCTTTTGCCTTATTCCCAAACGTATTAAGTTGATAATTCTCAGGCTTATCAGCGCTCTCAGTAAGCTTACTTTGCTGAACTTCTTGAACTACTTCTTTCACCAATACATTCGTGGCTTCTCCTTTATGATCCTCTTTAAAATCCTGAACAGCCGTAGATTTATTTGTAGTCTCCTTAGTAAACTCCTGAACCACATAGATCATAGGATTGTTGTCTTGTTGAACGACATAATTAGTAAGTTCATCATCGGACTTTTCTAAAGATGCCTCGGCAAAATTCTGAACCTTTGAATCTTCCATTGTAGTCTCCTGAGCCGCAAGGACCAGCGAGCTACTGTCTTGAACTAATTGAACAATAGGTTCATCCTTGAACGTTTCTGAAGACTCAACCAAATTTTGATTCTGAACAGCCTCTCTGCACACATCCTCAGCAATGATAATGAAATTATGTGTGAGTCCTGAATTTTCTTATCTCGTTCTACTTGATTCTGGACAAACACAATTGTAGCTTCGGTAGAATTCTGACCTGAAACTTTTTCATTCTCCTTAGTAACATTCAGAGCTGAAACCTCAGGAATCACTTGATCACTTTTTTGCTTTGGTAGGTAATGCTTCATCATATATTCATCAGTTTGGGGCTTCAAAACAAGTTTTCTGTCGTTGAAGTTAAAGGAGTAGGTGTTGGCTCTACCATCATGCTCTACTTCCCGATCATATAACCAAGGTCTTCCTAAGATTATATATGAAGCATTCATGGGAATAACATCATACCATATAGAATCAACATACCTACCTCTTTTGATGTCTACCAAGCAACACTTCGTCACAGGAATAGTTGTGCCATTAATCCAACCAACCTTATGTGGGTACGGATGTGACTCTGTTTTTAAATTCAGCCTTTCAACAGTGGATTCAGAAACCAAATTCGCACTACTTCCTCCATCTATAATCACTTTCTTGACAGCTTTCCCACAATAAACGAATGTCTGAAAGATTCCTGTCCTTCTCCAATCTTCTTCTCCTGTTTTTGGTGCTCTAGAAATTTGCCAAATCAGTGAAAGATAAGACATATCAACATCATCTTCTACCTCCTCCAAATCTTCAGTATCAACCATGCCCATCTCCTCTTCATCATCATTGTACTCCTGCTCATCTTCCTTAACGATTTCTGAACTACAAGGCAAATTAGGATAACCTATGCTATGGGGATTCATAGCTGTTGATCTCTAAACCCTTTTGAAAACAGAATTCATCAGGAAAATCAATTCCAATCTGATCAAAAAAGTATTAAAACCCCAGGAAATTCGGCTCAGATGCCAAATTGACGCAGGACAAAAACGTGGTGGTTAAGAAATCAGAACTTAGGCTGATTAAAGAGTGGTATGCAACGGAAAATCAATAGAAAACTGTAGAGAATAAGGGTAGAAATTGCAGGAAAACAGCAGGAAAAGAGAAGAAAACCTACGAATCACTCTTAGGGCCCTTTGGCGTCACACCGCAGGGATCCTAGGCATCACACCAAGGGTTTAGTTGAGTCACACAACTGTTGTTGAAAGCAAAAGCTCGCAGGAATTTTATTAATCTGATAACTCTCCAAAACCCTCAAACGAGGTACATATATATAGGCCTAAAACTTAACCTAAACCAAAGACAACTAGGATTCTCACCTAATTTCCTTTTTATTCAAAGAAAATCCTGCAGCATAACTAATATACTAAAATACCCTTTCCTAAATATTAATACTAAAATAAACTAATTAAATTACTGCTTAATAAAGGATTAACTAAACCAAAGTCCTAATACTTTGGCTTCTTCCTTGGATCATGATAATCCTGGGCATAAATATGGAAGAACCTACTGATCAGGTTCTTCTACCATTCCTTGTCCCCATCACTGTTGTTGTAAGGAAATATGAAAAGAGGGAAACCCGTACTCATCCAGTTAGAAAGATTATGGGTTCATGATAACAGTTCGTCAAAGTTCTTTTTTTTCCAGACCCCAAAATCTTCCTATGCAGGGCAATATGCTTCCATTCATTGGACTTAGGATCAATGCTATTTTCACAGTCACTAGAAAAAATTTAAGGGAGATAAGGGGGGATGCGACTTTTATGTTTTAGCAAAAAAGGAACAGCTCATCAAAAGTTCATATTGCTACATTGATCGCATAGAATGAATCGTGATCCTTGATAAGAACTTAATGATTAAAAGTAAACTTAAAAGTCCAAGAACTTAATGATTCTAAATTCTTCCAGCCAATTCATCAAAAAAAAAAACTTGTTATTAACACATAAAATTCATTATGTTTCTTCGAGGAATTGATCTAAAACAGGTAGACTTGTTGGTCTTTACAAACTTAATCATTGAAGGAACATAATTTGATCTAAAACAGGTAGACTTGTTGGTCTTTACAACCTTAATCATCAATACATCATCAAGAGGTTGAGGAAAATTAAACAAATACTCATAAGATGCGAAAAGAGGAACTCCTAAAGGACTAATTGCCAGAGAACGGTAATTAGTCAAACATTTTCTTGGGGACATAAAAAGTTTGACAAATTGCACAATTACCTCTACTTGTGCAGCAGCCTCCTTATATTGTCTTTTTGAAGCCATAACTTGGAGCTGCTCTACAGCAGAAACTGCCAAAACGAAAAACAGAATGTTGCCCAAATATAAAAATCTCTTCTAGATGAGGGTAAGCCTAAACCAAAAATATAATTGCCAGGAAAAAGGCACCTCCATTTAATAATTTATCAGCAAAATGAAAAGTACAAACAAGATCAACAAATTAACAATGTAATGATCGTTACAGAACTTAAGAGTACACCACCATGTTCTAAATTTAAAGATTTCCATGCTCCACTAACTATTGGAACATAACAGTCTCTTACACAAATTGTCCAAATCAGCATAAGCATTTCATATACTGAGACGATCCCCTCTTTTCGTAGTTCATTCATAATAATAGTATTGTTGCCTGCCCATGCAACCATCTCAAGTTCTTAACGTTCTCCTTTCAATGTAAGTAGAACTCAATCACATGGAATAGAGAACAAACTTCTCCTACCAGTAAACAAAGCCTCTTAAAATTCTAAGATTTGAGAAATTCATCCAAATTCTATCCACTTAACGGCCCCGCCCTTTTTAAAACTCCCTCAACCACAATGATAATTATTCTCCATTATGTACATTAAAGGAAGTTGTGAATTTTAAAGAAGAAATTTTAAGATTTATACAATGATATCAGGCATAGAACTTTGTCACCGTTGAATGCCACGTTAAAAGCCAGAAACGTCTCATGCGATACAAAGTAAATCAAATAATTCATAAACACCAGCCAGACAAGTACTTTTAGGAAACACAGCCACAAACATGATTACAAAACCCAGCAACCACTAAGAGCTGGAAAACAGAAGAGAACAACTAACCTAGCATTGTAAGCCGATGCAGAGCAGTAATAGTAGTTGTAATGTGTTTTTTGGCAAAATCTAGCTTCTTTATGTCGCGACAAATTTCCTGTACCATCGTTTCACTTTGTTCTGCTTTGGTTTTAATCTCTCGAATTTTGTACATGAGTTCCTGCATAAAAGTAAAGAGATGAATTCTTTCAAAATGCAAATGTAGGCATATGACCTGCAAATTTATCCATAATTCTCAATCCCGAAGCAAAACATTACATGCTGAAAGAAATAATGATATGAGTAACTTTTACCACTACCACAAAATCAAAAGTTTGAACAAACCTTTACGGCTTGTGTGGCGGCAGCAAGATCCTCCCTGGCTTTGCTTCCCGAATTACTCTGCAATACCCAAACTTAGCATCAGCTGAAAGTGCTTAATCGAGCTGGTTGGAAGAAAAGAGGCAAGGGACAAAGGTTCAAGTGAAGAACATTGGAGGGGGTTTCAAAATTCATGGGAGGATATGGTTTCCAAAAGAAAAAGAAAAGGGTGACAATAAAATAAAAAAGCGAGCATTACACGGCAACAAGCCGAAAAAGAAGTATGAATGTGACCAAGTACAATTTTCAACACTGCCTAGTATACTTCCAATTAGGAGCAAAAGGCTAGTTATTTGCACCGTGATTATCAAAACAATTACATCAAACACGGGCTCTTCGTGACACCATTCGACATGTTATACAAGACTTTCAATACTATCAGCATAGACATAAAAGTTATATGATCACTCTCTCGAATAAATGCATCATCCTGAGACTAAGCTTTGAACTCGTCAAACAAAGCAAGAACCATTTCTCAAAAAGTGAGAGGTCATTGTAAACGGAGAAAACTTATTCGCATTCAACCTCAACCAGTTGAAAATAGCACATGAAGCAGGCCCAAGTATACTACGAAAGACTCCAAAGCTGGCCAGTTAATTAAATAAAGAGCTTGGTTTCAAGATTCAGCAAGCAGACAAGTATGATAAATAAGACTTTTTCTGTTGACGAACTTTTCACGATTAGCGTATGCATGAGAAGAACTCCTCTGGCCAATGTCTTATACACCAAAGGTGTTATACAAAGGATTGAAAATTCTCTCAGTGATTGAGATTGAAAAGGAAATTTGAGGAAAAAGAAGAAAAATATTTAAGCAAGATGAAGACTACCTCATGAAACAAATATACATTCTTCATAAATACGCATATGTAACTTTTAAGTATATCATCATTCTGATAATCATAAACTTTTCACAAACAAGAGATTAACAATCTCGAACCACTGGAAGAGAAGGAGGGTGGTGAGACGTAACCAACCTGCTGTCGCACAGCAGCTAAAATTTCCGCATCAACACGACGAATTTCACTATGTACTTTCTGCACCATTGGCTCAATACCAGATAACGAAGCCTCTGAAAAACAAAATCATACAATCAAACTAGGAAGTAGAAAAACTAATTTTCAATGGAGTAAAAAAACATTTCAGATATCAAGATCAACCCTAAAAATGATAGCAGCCTAAATATTGCCTAAAGAAACCATTAAAATCCCTTTAAATGGTTGTCAATCCAAATGAACACGTAAATATAACCCACAATTCGGGGTGCCTTTAGACCACCTGAAGGTAAATAAGTAAACTCATGATAGCACATTTTTTCCCCTCAACATATTGAAGAAAGATGGCAAAACTTTCGTAACACAACCTTAAGTTTCTATGCACGAACTCTTCAGCAAGTCCAAGAAATGTTTTAAACAATCAAACAAGAAGCTAAACCACTCCAACATCTTCAAAAAGGACCTTGGTAGTTGTACTACAGTTCTCTTCATTAAGTCCATGAACAACATTGCCGCCAATTAAGTATAACAGGAAGTTCCCTCGTGATCTAAATCAGTTGTCTCATGAGCACTAAATTTGACTCCGCAATTTCAAAACTGAACCGAGTACTAAAAATCTCACCATAATATCCGCTACAAATCAATGCATACACTTCAAAGGGGAAAAAAAGTAAAAAAGAAATACGGGAAAAAAAAAACCTTTAATTCTGATCAAAATGTAAAGAGAAGAAAAGAGCACCTGTGGGGAACATTTGGTTGATATAATCCAGAGCACTTTGCTTGTCCATGACGTCCATGATTCCGAGCGGAACCCAAAATGAAGCCCCCAGATTACTGCGAAAATCCTAATTCACTGATTAGAATGGCAGTATATCTGGGATTACAAGTGATGCAACTACAGGAAGTTGAAGATATCAAAACCAAGAATCCATCATATTTCAGCTTAAGATCTTTTATTCCAAGATTTGCATCGATCGAGTTGCAGGGTACACAATGTTTCGAATGAGGAGAATTTTAATTAATCAGCTACTTTTGTGTTAATGAGAGCGAGTCCGATCTCCAAAGTTACCACTAGGGGTGTTTACGGACCGGATTGGTCTGGATTAATAGTTCTTGTGTCTGAAGGAGGGAGACGCGGAGGAGAGGAGGAAGGCTGGGAGGGGCGGCTTCGGTGGTGGAGGCGGAGAAACCGGCGGAGGTGCAGCAGCGGGCAGTGGCGGCTTGGCTTCTTTGCCGTTTGGGAATGAGGAAAAAAAAAAAGAAATTGGAGGCGGAGGCTTCGGTTTGGGAATGAGAACTGTGCCAAAAAGGGACATTCCCTGGGCTGTGCTTTAGAGGAAAACCGATCCGACCCGAACCGAAACTGGACCGAACCGTTTTGTTCGGTTCGGAACGGGTCACGCCCCAAATGACCTGGATAGTTTCGGTTCAGTTCGGTTCAGTTTCGGATTTTTTCCGGATCAAACCGAATCGAACCATTTTGACCCGTTTTTTTTTTTTCTGATTCATTTTCAAAAAAAAAAAAAAATCATTTTGACCCGTTTTGACCTGTATTGCCCCTTATTTAATTAGTGAGATTCGGGTCAAATGAGAATTGGTTTTTTGTTCAATTTGTGTAAGCTTCTATTTATGAATTCTGGTTGATTCTTTAACAATACAGTACATCAATCAATCTCCAAGGTATAGCACATTCAAGTTACAAAAGCTAATATTTCTAACAGAATAATCTTAGTAAGCAAAAATAGAATTCCGGGGGAGTTGGATAAATTTAACAATGGAATTCTATATTAGAAAAGTTTATCCGTTGGCCTAATTCAAATATATTAAATAAGTAACGACTTATTACGGCTCACAACAAATCAACAATCCCTGAGTTTAAAGCTTCTAAATTTCAAGCTTTTTTTTGAATGTACTCTTTCCTGTGTAAAAGCACAAAAACTTCAAGCATTTTCCAAAATGTTCGATTCTTTGTCAGGTAAAAGTAGCTGATATTTTGGGCATCAGAACCAGAACTACAGAACACACAGCACAATACAAATACAATCCCATTTGATTTTTAGAGCTCACAAAATTGATAAAAGCAAACTTAAAAACCCAAATACTAGATTAAAAAAAAACCCCACAAACCTATCTATAAGATAGACAATGTATATGCATTACATCATAATCATTATTCATTACTTCCTCCACTTTCTCCTATAGTAACTGATATCTGAAACAGATGAGCAACCTACTCAACATCAATGATGGGGTGTTACTTCATTCAATCGTGCTATCCCTGTCACAAAATCATATTCAAAACAAAAGTAAGCATTACTCTATAATTAGAGATATATGTAATAGCGACATTATTTTCAAAACCAAGCATGTATTACCTGCTTCAATTTCCTCAAGCTCATCCAAGTAGTCCTCCACAAAAACAGATTCGTGATTTTTTCTCAGCCAATCTTGCGCACAAACACTAGCTTCTACCATCCTTGGAGACAATGAGCTTCGAAATGAATCAATAATTCTACCACCAGTACTAAACGCAGACTCTGAAGCCACAGTAGTCACAGGAATGGCGAGTACATCTCTAGCCATAAGGGCTAGTGTGGGATATCTAACAGCATTTGACTTCCACCACTTCAATATATCAAAAGAGGTATCATTCGGGTCTACTTTCAAATCAACCAAATACCTATCCAATTCAGTGTTATCAGCAAGATTGCTTTTCTTGTTTTGCTCCTTAGCATATAAAGAGTTCAGGAATGCAGCGGCACCAAAAACACTATCAGAATTAACATCAACAATGTCTAACCCAACACTACAACTCATACTCCTGCTAGATGACACTGTTGGAATATAGAACTCATACATTTTGCGTAAAGTAGCAGTCACATCATCTTTCAACTCTTCTGCTTTTGACCCATAGGTCTTTTCAATCACCCACTCAACATGACTTTTTTTGTAACGGGGATCAAGAATACAAGCAATAAAAATATACATGTTCATCTTATCAAAATTAGTCCACTACTTGTCAAATTTGCGCTTCATACTCGAAGCCATTACTTTCAAATCAATCGAATTCATATTCTCCATTACATCCAAAACAAGCTTAACACCCGAGATTTGAAGTATGTATTTATTCCCAGTCACATAACTTGACCCAGACAAACGGACAGTAGTGTCATAAAAAACTTTCAGGAAAGGGAGCAAATTTTCAGCATACTCCCAGTCAAAATCAAGTGGCATGTTGTTACCCATATCAGACTTATAACGCTCATCTAAAGCTAGAGCATCAAAAGCAGACCTAAATTTCAAAGCTGATTTCAACATTATATATGTGACATTCCACCTAGTTTCCACATCCAAACTAGGACCAGATTTGGTGTCAAAACCCTGCAACTCTTAGATACCTTTAAACTGTCTAGACCTAGCAGAAGAAGATTTCACATACTTAACAGCAGCGCTTATCCTAGAGATATGATCATTGTAATCTTTAAACCCTTCCTTCACAATCAAGTTCAAAACATGAGTGGCACACCTCATATGCAAATGATCACAATTCAAAACAGTTCCTCTCCAATTCTTCAAACTATCTCTCAAAAATTTAACGCATTTATCATTTGAGGAAGCATTATCAACAGTCACAGTAAGAACCCTCTTAATCCCCCACTCTATTAAACACCTCTGAATGGTTTTACCCAACAAATCACCCGTATGATCAGTAATTGGACAAAAATTAATAACCCTTTTATGCAAAGTCCAAGCATCATTAATAAAATGAGCAGTGAGGCACAAATAATCAATGTTTTGATTCGATGTCCACAAATCAGTAGTAAAAGACACACTTGAACTCAATGTACCAAAATACTCTTTCAGTTTCTTCTTCTCAGCCAAAAAAAATTCATAACAATCACGAGTTACAGCTTTCCGTTTAGGAATTATGAAATTAGGTTGTAACTCTTGACAAAAACCAATAAATCCCTCTTTTTCAACATGGCTAAAAGGTAGCTCATCCACAAATATCATCACAATCAATGCCTTGTAAGCCCTAACTTGATCAAACACATGAGCAGGGGATTTAGGTTCTATAACTTTTAATCTTTTCTTAGGTTCATACAAATGAGATGTGGGACAACATTTGAGATGATTACGTAATGAACTGGTACCATTCACACTAGGACAAGATATCCAAGTTTCACAATACACACATTTTCCCCCTCTGATCCAAATGAGCGCGTTCAGGATCAAGTTCAAAGTATGGCCAAACATCAGATCTAAAGTTACGAGTCTTACTGGTGCTTTGAGTATCTTGAGTCCCCCTTGAAGTTTCAGACATATTCAAATCCCCACTTTGAGTGCTAGTGTCCATGGTAAAATCAGTCGTCGACATCACTACCCCTACATAGGAGCAGAAATCTAATCAGGACCAGCTAGTGCAAGCAGTTCAGAGTCAAAGGAAATAGAGAGTCAAAATTTAGCCTTTCAAATCTCATTTCTGAATTTTCAGAACTGAGGTGACTAAGGCCTGACAACAGAAAGAAGCTATTCTGAATTTTCTGCATTTTTCCGCAATGACAATGTCATATTCAAATCTGATTCTTGGACAAATCGGGAGTCCATTTGATAGTTCGTAAAAACCACAACAAAGTACACTGAATGAAAAACAGTTTCACAAAAAGAAAATCCAAAAAATACTTCAAGACCTAGGAGAAAGAGGTCTGACAACAGAAGGAATTTATTCTGAATTGCCAATGTCCAAATAATACTTCAAAACTCAATTACCTTCTGAGAGAAAATTCCAGATGGCTGAAGCAGAATTGAGCGGATAAAAACAGAAAAAACAGGAAGAAGGTACCAACAGCGAAGGAAAGTAAGCAGAGCAGCAAAGCTGCAAGATTGGGAAAACGCTTTTGGGATTGCTTCAATCCTTCAACTCATCCAAAGAACATTCAAAGAACATGCAAGATTGGGAAAACTTTTCGAGAAGTCACTAAAAATTAATTAAAGAACAGTTTCAGAAATAGGAGAAATAAGCCTTTAAAACTGAATTTCTAGACTTCGCGGAAAATCATTTTCAATAGTCAACTTTAAATGCGATTTCAGAACCAACCACAACTCTGTTTTAGGATCCGTAAAAACTAACAATTACCTTCGGAAACAAAGCAAAGGGTTACGAAAAGAAATCAAACAAATAGGTGTATTTTCAAGGAGATTTTATCAGTTCAAAACTCAGTTGACAGAATACTGATTCTGAAATTAAATCAGCCAATCTTTCTTACCCCTTTCCGGCCGATGAAATCAACAATTGGACCACTTGTAATAGTGCCAATCATTGCACCAAAGGTCAACAGAGAACCAAACAATGAGTACTGCAATGCAAAGAAAGAAGAAAGTTAAACAAAATTCTGATGACAAGAGTACAGAAGGAGGATCTCTGGTCACTTATGCATTTGAAGTGCTAGAAAAAAACTTATATGCACCACAACCTGCTGCTGAAACAGTAGAATTAGTGAATTCTGTTATGTTAAGTACCTTACAGAAGATTAAGGCAGGTCTAAACTGCACAAATGAATGATCGTTGTGCTAGCATTACCTGATTTTAGAAACTAAAAAGGATGGAAATTTGTTAGTTTCAGATTACACAAATTATCTTGCTCGTGCCTCCAATGGCCATATTTGCTAGTTTAGGATTTAATAAGTTATTTTGCTCAAATGACCGTCCCAAGAACCTTTTTATGGGGCTAGTTTTCATATAATACTAAAGAATGCAGTCTATAGACCATTTTTAAGGGTTTTTTTTTTTTGTTTTTCCGGTTTCATCTACACAACAGGAAGGCAAAATATCATATAATATATGCCACTTTTGGCATACTCGAATCCAGCCCTTTTCTGATGCCAAAACAATATCAAATCGCAGTAGAACTGATTCCTATTTTGCTCAAACGAACCAAAACCAAATAATGAAAACTAAAGAAGAATTGGATGGCAAAATACCAACAGAGAATGGAAAATTGCGCTTGTGAAGATAGTAAATTAGTAAGCAGTAATTTTTGTAAATGATAATGAAGGGAAGGGACAAGGGAACCTTTCAGCAGCTCTTCTTCTTCTGCAGTTGATGGGTTGAATTTTTGAGAACCCAGTATCCGTCGACCTTCGGCGAAAGAGATGATGGTGCTCAGATCGGTTGGATGAAAGACTGGATGTTGGCCTTCACTCGCACAAATT